CGAACCTCTGACAGCTGGAGGCCCTAATTAAACGTCCCCACTGAAAATAAACAGAGCGGGAGCCAAGCGAGCAGCCAGAGAGGGAGCGCACGGCAAACAGCGGCTGTGAAAGCTCGCCGCAGTGCCCTCCGCTCTGTTGCCGTTGAGGCCGTGCCAAAAGTGCATGGCTCTATAGGGCAGGGGTCTCAAATACACACTCACATATACTACACTAATGAATATGGAGCAGAGCAGCAACACATTGTGAACACCTGCGGTCACACTTGATACAGGTTGATCCCTGCAGCTGTGGGCGCTGTATATTTTCACACTCAGTGCTCTAAGAAGTCACACTTTTTCCTTTTCCACAGATTTCCCACTGAGCCCCGGCAGAATCAGTCTACTCAGCTCTCTCTTCATCAGATTGTTTCACACCCTTGGTCCAGATGACACTTCTGACATTCAGCCTGTTGTCGCTGCCTGCTAGCTAGCCAGAGCATTAGCAGTCAAAGTGGCGGGGTCCATTTGGGTGAGTGCATTAATGGGCCGCCCAACCTGCGACAAGGTTATGAGGCTGATTGAATAATTACTGTGGAGGCCCCTGTCCATTACGCCCCTGTGTCTGCTCTGATAGAGGGAGAGATGGAGAGATAGCTCCAGACAGAAAGATGGAAGGAGAGATTAGATAAGCACAGATAGGGTCAATTAAGAGATAAACATACAGGTATGGGGAGGAAAAAAAAGGCTTTGCATGTGTTTGTGTGTGGAAATTTGAGGGTAAATTGTCCTCTTCCTGTGTCTCCTCTCTGATCCCACTGTACGCAGCCTAATTTGGCATGTAGTGCATTTAAGTGTGTGAGGTAGGGAAGGTGACAAAGGTGAAGTTGTTAGACAGAGGTGTCGCCCTCTGCTCGACCCTGTCCTCTCTTCGGTACGCTCTTTATAAAGAGCACTGTCAATGCTGCAGACTGGAGGCAGAGCAGGAAGAACTATAGGTTTCCTATAGCTGAGAGAAGCCTGAGCCTTACGTGTAAAGCCCGGGACAAAATATTCTGTCAATGGAAGTGCCCAGAGTAGAGGTTACGCCTGGAGATGGAAAATTACCCTGATTGATCAGATAAGCATCGTTACCGCTCTCTTGCTGACTTAAATTTACTTGCACGGTAATCAATTTTGGATAATCTCATTCCCAAAGAGCTACAACAACCAACAAGACATTAAAACATCCAATTATCCAACAGTTCAGTCCAAAAGTCCAGAGAGCTCAATGCCTTTTCTTTAACTCCATATATCGCCCAATCTGAGAACGAATCAGCGATCATAGTCTATCATCATCTCATGACAAAGCGTGATTTATGCGTCTGGGAACAGGAACTTACTTGTCAGTGATTTCAGTGTACCCAGAGGTCAATGTTCAATGATTCTCAGCAAACTATGTTAGGTCTGCAACACAGGCTCTATCATCTTTTAGTCCATCTGTTTTAAGTTACATAGAAGTTTTACCAGCTCACTTGAAACCTATTTTCTGGTGATTTTCTCATAATTTCTGCATCTTGAGCTCGCCAAAATGACAACTTCGTAAAGGCGTCCTCAAGAGAAAGGAATAATTTTGAACAAAGGTTGGATCTGTCATTTCTGAAAACTGCTGATTGGCTGTATATTTCTATCTATATTTGTAGATCTACGAATTAGAACGTAACCCAGTCCCCTATCTATTGAATATACTGTTTAGTGGGGACCACTTAAATCTAATTATTTGCATCTAAGAAGTTATATTTGGTGGTATGTCTCTGTTCTGAGGGCTTCCTGTCTGTCCATGTGCATACGTGGATTATCAAAGCCCGAGGCACCGAAAAGAGCAAGTATTACAGACAGTACAGCTGGTCAAATTGAGCAGCATAAAAAGGAGGGACTTGATTGGCGGTGGGATGCAAACTATTTTGCAGAGGAGGCGTCAGGAATAAGCAGGTTAAAGCGGTTCAAACAGAGGGGCAGTTTTGACATTTGCTAATTGGATGCGTTGATGGTTTAGATCAGCTGATCTTGAGTTTGAGTTTGACTTTGTGGCCTGTCTGAATAAATGCTATATTCAGTGTAAATAGAGATGATACATTCCCTTACTTACTGGTGCGTACTACCGTTGTTGCCAATATTTCTGTTGGTTCGACTCTTTGCCTTCAAATATTGTCCAGTGATTCATGGTACCCACAGGATGAAGCCATTGACTTTGGTCGTCTGCTGACTTTCTCTGTAGTGCCTAAAATTTTACTCAGATCTTTGGTTTATGATAAAATACCTTTGAAACTAAAAACAATCCCAGGAGTCAAGACTGCATTTTGCATTTACTGTAATGTTATTTAACAAACTAAAGCATGCTATTTGGCAAATTAAAAATGATATATACAGTATAATAGGCTTGCTATTGTACCTGCTTAAATACAGCACATTGGCAGTGTCATTTTGAGTATATTAGCATACTGCATAGTGTGTCTCTCTTAGCAAACAACAATCAACATACTGTAAATTACTCTATCTGACACAACACCCTAAAGGCGAGATTAAGGACAATCGTTAGAAATAATCAATCTTGCTCCTTAAAGGCTAGTATGCTTTTGCAGGTCACATAAATGCATCAGTATTGATTGAACTTTGTTTAAGAACCAGTAAAAAACTCCTCACAGTGCAACCTTACAGAGTAGAAATCTGGCAACAGAGTCCTGATCTTGTTTAGTGAGTATTGAGCTCCAAGGAGACATTTGAGGGGACAAAGACATGCAAGACCCTATTCTTCCGTTTCCATTGAGGCTGGTTTCTTCTATCACTAGACGGTATAAACGGTAGAATAATGTACAACTTTGCACCATTATCACATCCTAAAACAACTAAAGGTAAGTGCATGACCCGACCTCCCCGTTTGAACAACCGTTCTCTCTTTGTTAAATCCCACATTGGCTCCTCTGTCTTTGAAACTGGTCCAAGAAGTTTTCCTGCATACATTTGAGGGCGCCGTTTTAGCTTTGATTCTTGAAATGATATCTGCCAAACCTGCCCGGCTTCTGCTGACCCCTCTTAGCCAAGGTCAACATAGCCATGCTCAAACTCGAGACATAATCCATTTTCCTCTGCCCCGGCAAAGCTCCGCTGAGTTGATTGTGCTGACCCAGGCGGGCCAAAGAGAGAGAGAGTTAGAGAGTGAAAGGAAATAAGAGAGAGAGAGAGGGCATCTCAGGCCCAAGGGCATGACACGGGTGTGCTCGGGGCCACACCAGCCCTTTAAATGTCAGCACAGCACAGAGGGGAGGGAGGGGAGGGCGACGGGTGAGGAGAGGGACTCTCTTTGAGGACAGGGAAGAATATTGGCAACTTGTGCCACAGGAGGGAAGTGTTGGAGACGGGCAGAAGGCATCAATAGACGTGGAGGAGTTCGCAGTGGACAGATTGCTTTAAAGTCCTGCTGAAGACGAGTTTGAATATTCTCTCAGGGAGGACGGAGACATTTGGAGATCTGTGATTTCAGCTTAATTGTGACTTCAAAGATGGCTCAGTGTTTTCTCTTATGTCAATCACCCGGGGAACAGTCCCTGACCTTTATGTGGGGAAGACATACAGTACCTAATAACTCTCCGTCAGTCCTTACATCTCTCTTTTTTTGTCTTTCTTTTTTCTTTCTGTTGTGCTTTGTTTCTTTCTATCTTTTTCCCCTCTGGCTTTCTGTCTGTTTCTCTTTCACTCTCTTTTTTTCTTTTCTCTTTTTTTCAGTTCTTCTGTTTTCTTACTTTTTTTTCCTTTTCTCTTTTCGTTGAATGTCACTTCTTGAATTGTTCTCTGGGTTTGATCTTTTTCTTTGATTCTCTTTTATTTCATTTACACTTTTCTGTTCTTTTTTCACTCTTTTTCAACCCTTTTTACCTTATTTTTTCTTTCTCTTTTGTAGCTGTCTATCTTTCTCTGTCTTTTTAATACACTTGTCTTTACCTCTTTACTCAACTTTTTCTTTTGTTTAATTGTTGGTCATTAATTTTTCCTTTTTTCTCTTTTTTCTTTCTTTCTTTTTTCTTTTTTTTTGTCTTCCTTTGTGTCTTTCTTTTTTCTTTCTTTCTTTCTTTCTTTCTTTCTTTCTTTCTTTCTTTCTTTCTTTCTCATCATACCTCAGTTATTGCCGTACTCTGCCTTGACAAGCGTTGTCATTTCATAAATATTCAGATTAATGATATAAAACAAAAGATGAGTTTTCATTCACTTTCTTTCTTTCTTTCTTTCTTTCTTTCTTTCTTTCTTTCTTTTTTCTTCTTACCTCTGTTCTTTTCCGTTCTCTGCCTTGACAAGCGTTGTCCTTTAATAAATATATGGATTAATGACATAAAACATGAGATGAGTTTTCTTTTTTTTTCTTTCTTTCTTTCTTTCTTTCTTTCTTTCTTTCTTTCTTTCTTTCTTTCTTTCTTTCTTTCTTTCTTTCTTTCTTTCTTTCGTTCTTTCTCTCTTTCATTTTTTCGTTCTTTCTTCTTTCTTTTTTCTTTCTCTCGTCATACCTCTGTTCTTTTCTGTACTCTGCCTTGACGAGCGTTGTCCTTTCATAAATATTCAGATCGATGATATAAAACATAAGATGAGTTTTCATTGGAGCATTTTGATGCAAATCCTGTTCTTTCTATTTAAACAGGCTGAATTAAACTGCAAATGTAGAAAATGTCACAGTTTTTCTGCTGCTTTAGCTTTTGTACTTTGTTAAATAAAAGATTGGCAGTTAATTGAGTTTCACAGTCTGTGTATTAAAACATTAAAACATTAAAAGTAAACGCATCATTTGACAAACGCCTCTGTGCTGTAAACTGTAAATGCACTGAACTTGACGACATGATCTCTGACAGTTGTGGATGAACCAAGTTTTCACTATTTACTAACTTTTTTCCTCTCCCCTCTCCCTCTGCTCTCTCTCACTGATCTCCAGGTCTGAGTCTGTCGCACCCTCAGCCAATCAAAGCCTTCGTTAACGTCGGCGTTGGCACGTGATTGGGAGGATGGCAACTATGCCGTTTGTCAGCGAGGGGAAGTGTGTAAGTGTGGAGTGGGATTTCCTACAAGGACTACTGGCCAAGCCTCCCACTCTGCCCTGGTGAGACGACACACGCGCACACACACACACACACACACACACACACACACACACACACACACACACACACACACACACAAAGACTCAGGTTGATACTGTATAAGCCTGCATGCATGCCCGTGAATTAATCTCTGCAAGGTGAAATCCATGCATTAGCACCCTTGCGCACACTGTCAGCTTGAAGAAGAATTTCCTATCAATGAAACACAATCCGGAAGACAGACGAGTGATCTCCCCGGTGCTACATATAACCTGTATTGTTGCCCACCTGCCAATCCTGTCAGAGTCGTGAATCCCCCTCCCTTTAGTGGGAGATTAAGTAAATTTGGCTGGAATTATTAATGGGCAGTCATTTACAGGCGGATATAAAAACTAAGCAGAATCAATGTGAGCGTATTGATTGTTCTCGGTGGCTGGGGTCGAGGCGGTATAATAATGAGATGTTACAGAGGCTGGCAGCATGAGTCCACTACACACACACACAAGGAGAAAAACACACAGCTTTACCTTATTAGAGGAAAGCAGGGAGAAATACAACAGCTGTGTCAGCTGATTAAGACACAAACATATGTACACACACCGTATACAGCCTTTCCCTTTGTTCTTTTCTTCCCTTTGCTTTTACTTAGACACACACACAACACACACACACACTCTACTGGTGGTCTTTCAGGGGGATGAGAATCAACAACACAGACACGAGGGAGAAAGGCTGGTTCGTCTTGCTCCTCTGGCTCTCTTTCTCACGCACACACACACACTCACACACAGACACACACACACTTTATTCCAGCGCAGCACGGACACAAATTGTGAAGTGGCTGTGACAACATAATTCCACCACTCAGGCCCCATTGAGGAGAGTCAATACCCAATCAGAGAGACAGGCTACCTGAGCCCCGGCCCCCCTTTGTCACTCCGCCCCTCCTTCTCCTATTGATCCCTCAATCACGGCTTCAGCTCACCAGCCCAGGACCAGATGAGAGAGAGAGAGGGGTAGAGAGAGAGAGAGAGGGGAGGGTTGGAGGGGGAGGAAAGTGAGAGATAGGCAGCAAGAGATTGTAAGTGTGTGTTCACATATGGATTTTAGAGCAAATAGCATTATTAGGACTGCTCTATGAAAGACAGAAGGAGAGAGTTTGACCGTGATTACGAAGCCAATCTGTAAAGGGGGCAGAGTGGAGATTGTTTCAGTGGAACTGCAGCGGCCGTCGCCATCATATGTATTTATGAAATGAGGTCTCTGAATTGGGGCTCAGGTCATTAACACAGATCTACAGGTGGTCAGTAGAAGACCATTATGTGGTCCTCTTTACCGGTTCAGACGATTTTCCTGCCCTTTTCTTGTTCTCTCGCCTTCTTGCGTTTATCTATTTCTACCATTTACCCTTCTCCGTTCTACCCCCACCCCAAACCCCACCTCTTCCTCTCTGCAGTCTACAGAACCTGCGGAAAGAGAAGTCTCGCAATGCGGCTCGTTCGAGGCGGGGGAAGGAGAACTTTGAGTTCTTCGAGCTGGCCAAAATGCTGCCCCTGCCCGGCGCCATCACCAGCCAGCTCGACAAGGCCTCAGTCATCAGGTTGACCATCAGCTACCTGCACATGCGCACCTTTGCCAGCCAGGGAGACCCGCCCTGGAGCCCGCTGATGGAGGGAGACAGCAACTGCAGCAAAGGTGAGCGAAAGGGGGAACGCCTTTTGAGTAGCAGGTTTGAGACCATCACACCCTCGGCCAATCAGAGCAGGGATTGAAGACTTAAGTTCAGGGCACATCAAGGAGGGTTTGTAAAACTGAATATTCTGGTTTATCTTTGACGTTAGAGCAGCAATAAAACAGTCTTAGCTAGTTATAGCAAGCTAGCCTCAGGTAACGTCAAGAACCCACTTAAAACGTCACTTCTTGTTGTCTTGGTCTCTTTCCCTTTTCCTCTAGTCGATATACATATTTATTAAAAAGGCACATAACACCTCAGTGTATACATGAACTATTTTCAAAGTTTGTTCACCTTTCAGTTTGTCAATCTACACCACACAAGGAAAATTCCCGTATATTCACACCTTTCAATTAAATGTCTTCACGGTCATGCTACCAGTTAAGTCACATTTTATCAAGTTCTTGGAAAAAAGTTGCGTTTTAGAAACTTGGAGAAGTTTTTTTTTCTGAATTTTATGGGTTGGTTCCAGTTTTATTTGGACTCAGTATGTTCTGAAAACAAATTAGTTTTAATTAAATCATGATTCTTCCTGAAATTTCCCAACTGTATTATCTTTTTTGGCAGCAGGGGGGGCTGACAACAAAACAGAGCTTTGGCCCCAAATTCTATTTTTATGTAAAAAATACACTTATTTAAAAAAGGAAAAAAACAATTAATATTTGAAAAATCTGGAGTTTACAGTTAATGAATTTAGTTATTTGGGAAAACATTTGACTCACAGGAAATATAAAGTAATAAAGCCCAGCACAGGTTACTCATGAGTAGATTAGCTCTTGTATTTGTTAGAAATCTATATTTTTACCCTGGTTGGAGTACATGTTTGAAGACCTGAATGAAACCTTACGTTTCTCACTCAGATCTGATGCAGTTCAGCTTATATAAAAAAACACTCTGCAGGGACAAAACCCATTTTTGGACTCGCATCTCCCTGTTCATTCAAAAGCAATTTGTAGCAGTCTTTTCCATTTACACCCGCCCACGGAGACACCCCACGCCAATGAAAAAACACTCTATGTGGGCCAGGACAATTATCCAGCCCTCTATTAGGGACCTTAATTACTTGTGCTGCATGTATGTGACTCGAGCACATGTTAACTTTCAGGCCTGTAAACATACATGTGCATATAATCATAAAAAGACGTGTCGGGTAGGACTATGTTGTGTTTGTGTGTGTGTCTGTGTGTGTGTGTGTGTGTGTGTGTGTAAGAGGCAGTTGATGATACACATAGAGGGAGGGAACTATTGGTGCGATTTGTAATTACAGAAATTAACTATATAACGAGGACAGTGTAATTATAAAGCCAGTCTAATTGCTACTATTACTGAGGGGAAACGATGCAGCTACAATTAGAGGTGTGTGTTTGTGTGTCTGGTGTGTGTGTTCGTGCCAGCTCCTGTCCAATTTGAGGAAATGTGAGCAAAAAAAAGAAAAAAAAAACAGTCATGTCAAAGCCATGTTGGTTTGTGACTGATTTCATTTAGCTTTAGCAAACGTGAAAACACACATGCCTGATCGGTCATACATTTTGAGGGTTATATCAACAGTGTGGCTGAACGTCAATACTCAAAACCTTCTAGTTAAACTACACTAATATAATGCTTATGGGTCTATTCATTTGTCACGTTGCAAACGGCTCATCCTTTTAAAACAGCTTTAAAATTTTGATTTGCGTTGACTGAAATGTTTTTACAGGGGGATGGGGGTTCAGTTTTGTTTACATCCAGGTATCAGAGCATTACGGCGTCATGATTGTGGACACTTACTTTGCTATGGTGGCAGGTGTTTGATCAGTAGTTTGGACTCCATAATTGAGCTTCTCCAATAATTATAATAATAAGATTAAAACATTTTTCAACCAACTACTCACACCGATAAAATGGTTAAAACTGATCACAGCTTGAATTTGCTAGTCTATAACAAACTAAACAATATGAAAACTGTCAGAACAGCAGGGTGAACAGAAGTCCAAATTTAGAGCGCTATTCTTCAGTTTTAGTCTCAAATTTCAAGGCACAAAAAATAGAGCTGTTGTTGTTAAGAATTGACAGACTCCAGTTTGGTTGATCCCAGAAAGAGCTCGGCTTTGTCTGTATTCGTGAAGTTTTGGGAAAGGCTGATGAAATAACCTCAACTTGAGTTTTGTAATCGCTTTTTACATGTATTGCACATGCGCCATAAATCCAAGACGACAGGCAACTGGTTTGTTTCAGGCTTATTTTCATGTTTACAAGCAAACCTGCCCTTACTTCATCATTACACTGCGGCTAATGTTACACTCACTAGTTTTTAATTCACCACTGCGTGCACAATTTCATTCCTGACGGTTTACAAGAAGACACTCAATGGAAATACGTACAACGTTTCTCTACATTGTTTGATATGTCGGACTGACGAGCACTATTTCCACCTAATGCTCTTAAATGCTTAAATGGGCGATGTCAACCATTTCTGCATTGTTTTAGGGACATAGACAAAGTCATTTATATAATAAAACAAATTTCCTTAAGTTCAATTTTTTTCGATAACATCTCACTGTAAAATACAAGCATGCACAATACCAGCATCCTTAAAGCACCCTTTTGTATTCTAATTGCAACACAACACAGCAGAGGGACACACAGTAGAAACTTCTACAACAACTTTAAAAAGATTTAAGCTCAATACCTTTACAAGTTTAAGTCTCTCTCCATTTTATGTCAGGACCTTAAACCAAAAATATTCATCTCAGAGAGCCAACATTGTATAAAACATTCATAGTAAGCCTTTTTTTCCATAGGAATTGATCAGAAAAAATACATTATCATGGCTGAATCCACAGGGATCCATCGATATCTAATCAGGCATGCAGCACTGCACAATCTGAATGTCTGAGTGATATCCGTACACGCTCAAACACAATCACACACTCCTGGCCTTGACTGAGCTCCACATGTACTGAATTGTGTTGATTTTTCTTGGCCTTGGTGGAAAATACCCGCTGTTAAGAAAAGTATGTGTGCAGGTAGCCTTGCTGTCCAGCGCATGAACTGAAAACGCAGCAGAGAGACAAATGTGCGGGGCGCTGCTTACACCACAATAAGACGCTCGGTACAAATGTGGACCAGCGCTGTAAATATATAGAATCCTGCTGCAGCCACGCGAAGGTCACGGAAAATTGTGAGGCACTTAAAAGCACAATGAATGGCTGCTTGTTCCACCTGCAAACATTCTCAGAGTCTGAATTATCTCGGGCATTTCTTCCACTGATATCTGAAGTAATTTATTAAATGTTTGGAGATTTCTACAAGCGGGTCACACTGTCTCAACGGGGCCAAGGCTGAAAATGCGATGCTAATTCGGACATCAGTTTGAACAAGTCTACCCACAATGCATTGGCAGGGTTTTTAAGTGTGATGCATGACTTTAATTCCGTTAGTGGAATGTGGTCAGAGATCCAGCTGAAAAGGAGAGGAGGATGAAGAGGAGGGGAGGAGACTGATGTAATAGGAATAAAGAGGAGAGGAAGAAGAGGAGTGTGAAGAGGAGGAGGAGGAGGGCTGTTGCATTCCTCCACTCTCTCCCTCTTGTCCGAGTTTTTTTTTTTTTTTTTTTGGGGGGGGACGGGCAAGGGCCAGAGGAGAGAGGAGAGGAAGGTGGAGGATGGAGGAACAGAGAGGAGAGGGATGTAAGGGAGGAAAGGGGAGGGGCCGGTGTGGCTTTTGTCTGCTTCCCACGTTTCAAAGCCAGTCTTGAAAAATGAATAGACAGAGGAAAATCAATTGCATGACCTTCACAGAGAGAGAGAGAGAAAGAGAGAGCAGGAGAAGGGAGAGACAGATTATGGAAGGAGGGGACGAACGGAAAAGGAAAAGGCTTAAGGAAGGGAAAGTAAAATGACCCATGATGTTCATTCCCATTCAGAGTGTATTTGTACTTATTTGCAAAGCACATAAAAGGACTCAACCCTTTTATTTAAAGTAATTCGTATTTTAGAAAACTATATCGAGTAGATTTTGCTTGAGTTTATCATTTTTTTCTATTCCCCTCCCTCATATTGGGTTATTCCGTCGTATTTTTACAAAGCCTGTTGGCTGACTGCTGAGCTCATTGAGCAGTGCAAACATCGCTTACCAATTTATCCAAACCATTTGATTTGGAGTTAAAATGTATGAAATGCACATAGTCCACAAAGACGTCAGCAATCTCTGAACCCTGCCGCCAAAATGTCCCCTCAGGGTATAGATACAAACTTTTCAGGAATCTCATTGTTGACTGTTTTTTGGCGTCAAACAATCTCCAACCTTAACAATGTTTGCCTTTTGGATGATGTTCTGATTTCAGGGTGAAATCTAATTTACTTTTACAACAGAGTGTTCAGATCTGTGACTCAGGCTGAAATATGTTTTGTTAACAGCACTTGTATGAAGACTTCTGTTCATAAAGATAAGTAAATCAGTGCCAGACTACCTCTAATGGGAGCCAGGCTGTCATTACTGCAGTGAGTGTACCACCTGCTTTCCCCCTCCACGCGCTCTGTTTTCCCTGCAGACATTAAAGCCCGCTCAATGTGATTGGTCGATACTGCTTGGACTACAAACATACTACAAACACAAAATCAGACCTCTGAATGCAGAATCCACATTTTTATGTGCTCTGTGTAAAAACAGATAAAGATGTCAGTCATCCTTGACAGTGAGGTACACACAACTTGACACTTAAAACACCCACAATCCCTTTTGTTCCATAATTTAAAGCTTTTTAATAGTTTTTAAGGGGTGCAGATAGCCTAGCTGTTCAGGCACATCTGTATCCACTGTTCATTTGTCAATAACAGCCATAAAAGTTCTCAACTGCATTGAAAAAAATCTTGCTTTATTTAGTTGCTACACAATTTTTAAGCCAACTGTTACAAAATTAAGATTCAAGGATTCAAGGAACTTAATTTGTCATACCCCACACCTTTGACAGTCTGTGGTACGGATTTAGTACCCAGGTCCGTTTCCAAGCCAAGAATAAAATACAGTACAATGAATAAAAATATAATACGATAGATAAAATACAATAACAAAGAGCAAAATGTAAACAAATTTAAGTGAGGCTGAAATTAGCCCTGTTGCACTAAAATTCCCGTATGAAAGCAGCACCTTTGTTTGTAAAGTGATGTAGTGCAGGTTCGGTCAATGGATGGGAAATGGGGTTCGGGGGAGGGTGTTAAAAAAACTTCAACTAACTTTAATTCATACCGTTAAATTACTTTTATTTGTTCATGTTGATTTCCAATATAAGCAAACATGTAAGTTCGGCTTTTCTCTATTTCAGTATAGTGTGATTATATTATCCATGACACTGAAAAGCTTCATGAGTATTAAAGTCTTTTCACAGAATGTTAACTCTAGAAAAATAAAACCTTTTTTCCAAAAACAACAACATAGAAATTAAACAGTTTGGGAATTTTGTAAGTCTGTGTTATCGTAGAGTACATCTTGTTGAAATTTCCCAGCAGCTGTAATCCTCTGAATGCAGATATATCACCACTCAACCTTTAACAGGTGCAACACAGCAGCTGGAGATCCCCCAGTATTTTACAAGGTACAGTACAATGACAACTCAGTGGCAGCAACAGGGCCAGCTGAAGTGTTTTACTGTCTCTGTTAGTGAGGTCAAACACACCTCTATCCTCCCCAGCCGTGGTGACATTGACTTTCATTCCCTCTCCCTCTCTCTTACCCTCCCGTCTCCTTTCTTTCATTGCCTCTGTCTCCCTCACCCTTGCCTCCCCTCTTCTCTCTTTCCTTTTCTGCGTCTGCCTCCCCTCTAATTCACAGCGTTTAAAGCAGCCGGGGCTTTTAAGGCAAGTTAATTGCACTCAAATTATGTTCGACCGCGAAAGGAGCGAGGGAGGAGAAACAGGGAGATAGAGGAGAGATAGAAGGAGAGAGGGATGGATGTCAGAGTGAGAAGATAATTGCGACAGAGAGGGACGCCACGATTAGGGTCACTCTTTCTCTCTGTCTGTCGAACAGCCAAACGTCACATTTGGATGCGAGTAAACAACTTGGCAGGTGATCAGGCTCTTGTTTTGAAAGGATGAGAGTATAGCAGCCGAGAGAAAAATGGAAGAGAAGACAGAGAAAGAGAGGGATTAAGGTGGACACTGTGGGGGGTTGAAAGAGTGACCATGTGTGTGTGTGCGTGCATGGTCGTGTGTATGTAAGAGGGAGGATATGTGGGAGTGTGTGTGTGTCTGTGCAGCCATAACTCATGGACTTAACTGGGAGTAAATTATGTATTAGACAGAGCTATAATGAAAATCATTCAAATGAAATTTCTATCTTTTCTCCTGGTGGAGCGCAGGGGGAGACCCCGAGAATTGACCTGCGAGTCAGACTATAATTAACGTGTCCGATCGTGCCCAGTTCCAGTCTGTCTCCTATTCCCACAATGAAATTACACCTCAGACAGAGTCCTGGGGAGCTAATGAAACAGGAGTGTGACAGAGACATGTGATCAAAGGACTCAGGTACACACGGAGACCTGCATCCACAACAAAATATGAACGGTTTACACAAGCAAACATCACAGCGACGACAGAAGGATGAGAGTAAAGTCAAAAAAAGCCATGTTTACAAGATAATTACAGCTTATTACAACCTAATTTTTCTCCTCCTTTTTCAATGACTTACAACAAACAACACTAACAAATTAAAGTCAGACAGGGTAGGGAATGAGTCATCAGTTTAGCCTAGATACCTGAAAGAGCTTTTTATGAGTAAAACTGAATGTTAATGCGCCAAATGTGTAATTGTCATCAGCAAGCAAGAGAGAGCTAGTTCAGGCATGAGACTTGAGGTGCTCTGATTTCACATCAGACGCGATTATTCCCACAACCAATTTACAAACAAACCGCACCAATAAGAGAGTTATTTAAAGGGATATTCTGGCGTAAAATTAATTTGAGGTCAAACACACCGTAACACCGAATTAGACACCCCTGAGATGAATGTTGCTGACCGCTTGCTTCTCTAGTTATACCAACTTTAGTGATAACTGCACGATAGCAATATACAGCGGTCTAAGGAATCATATACAAACCTCAACCAAAACGCCACTCTATCACCACAAATAATGCTCAGAACAGCACCTAACTTCATCAACAGTACATATAGGGTCCCAGCCACAGCACTAGCCACCAAACATCTTTTTAACTTTGCCTAATTTCTTTAGCAAAGAGACTAAACAAAACTCACCTACTCTTTTCCAGCAGCCGCTTGTTTGCGAGACCTTGACCAGTCCATTATCGACTAAGGCGGGGCATGATCATAAATGTTCTTCCTTGAGCTGCGTCCCCCCGCCTCAGTGGATAATGGACTGGTCGAGGCCTTGCTGCAAACAAGCGGCTGCTGGAAGAGGGTAGGTGAGTTGTGTTGGTGGCTAGTGCTGTGGCTGGGACCCTATATGTACTGTTGATGAAGTTAGGTGCTGTTCTGAGCATTATTTATGGTGATAGAGTGGCGTTTTGGTTGAGGTTTGTATATGATTCCTTAGACCGCTGTGTATTGCTATCATGCGGTCGTTACTAAATTTGGTATAACTAGAGAAGCAAGCGGTCAGCAACATTCATCTCTCGACAGGGTCTCTAATTCGGTATTATCGTGTGTTTGACCCTAAATTAATTTTACGTCGGTATTTCCCTTTAAGTTTGAAGACTTACAGTCACCCCCTCTTCTCTTCCACGGTCCATCACCTGTGCTGTGCTTCAACTTTCAGCTCCACCACCACCCCAGCATCAACCTAGAGGGTACCATCCAGAGGGGTTTAAGATATAATCTTTCCCCGCCTCAAATTACTGAGTGTAAAATGACTCTTCCGGGAGCGTTGAGGTCAGAGCCTGGACGCAAGGCACGAACAACATCCACCGCTATAATAAAGGCGCAGCAATAGGTACAAAATTTATCCTTAGAGCCTTTTATAACTGAACAACGAAATCTTAAAATCAATCCGAGGATGATTTAGTGAGGAGAGAGAGAGAGGCGCGTGATGTGTGATGTGGTCCTTCTTTTTCTTTCTACTCAATCATATTTTATGCTTGCTACAGGCGCTGGACAGATGACTGGATAAATAAATTACTGCTCCAGACGCGAGGTGTTCCTAAAACTTGTAGCACAGGAAGATATGCCTTTACCTTAGCTGTTAGTCTCACCTGGAAGATGTTGAAATCTGCTTTTCATCAGCTAAGCAACAGGCCCTAAGGTTGGCATATATAGAGGAAATAGGATGAGGCCCAGAACAGACCCTTGAGGGATGCCATAGGTAGAAGGAGTCATCACTAAGGTAGACAGAGAAACTTCTATCTGTCAGGTAGGAATGAAACCACCTGAGAGCCACAGCTTTAACTCTTTTCAAACATGTCAGGAAGATCATGTTTCTAGTCTTTTCTGACTCAGTTATCATGAAATTCAAGTTTGCTTTTAAGACAAGATTTATTTTTAGCTCCCGTCTAATAAAAGAAAGGAAAACAAGATAAAGAAATTATAATATTAAAGAACACAAACAGAATAATGCAGTCCTTCCTCCTCTCCACACACACACACACACTCTCACACACACATATAGGAATAGGGGTTCACAGCAGCACTACAGAAGGATCTTTGTTCTGAGGGTGAGATACCAACACCGCTCTGAGACTCTCTCTCTCCTCACATGTGCGCACACTCGTGCATGCATTCACACAAACACACACACGCACACACACCAGGTCCAGTGTTTTGGTTTCCTGGCTGCCCTATTGTACCCTGGCAGTCTTTAATAAATGGTCCTCTGTGTATTTGTGAGTGAGTGAGTGTGTGTGTGTATGTGTGTGTGTGTTTGTGTGTGTGTGTGTGTAGACTCATCCGTCAGCCCTCCTGGCCTCATGTCACATCCAGCGTTTCCTTCGCCGCGCTGACACTACTCAGCAGTACTGATCGCCAACTATCACCTGCACTCCTCCAGGGGATGAAGGCGCACACTCATACGCGCACTCACACACATATACACACTCAATATCCAGTACTTCTGTGTGATTGTGTGTGTGTGTGTGTGCTCTCATATGTTCATGATGGGGGGTTGCTTTCTCCAGACTCCCCAGCGCTGCAGCTCCATTGCAGCCCTATGAGGAAGCCTGATAGGCGGGCAGAGAGCGAGAGGGGCTCCCCATCCCCCCCCTCTCTGTAGGCAGAGACTGGCTGGGCTGAAGGGTCCCAGCACCAGACCCTCTTTCACAACCCTGAATGGACTCGCCTTATTTATATTCACACTCTGTCACACAGGGGGACCCCAATCTCACAATGCCACTGTGGCTTTGTCCGGCAACTCTGTATTTATGTGTGTGTGAGTGAGTGTGTGTGTGTATAATTATGTGAGTTTGTGTGTGTGTGTATGTGTGCGCCAGAGTGTGTTTGTGTTGTTTAACACAAACACACTGGTAGTGTGTGCATGAGAATTCATTGCTGTGTGTATATCTGAAGTAAGAGTGTGTGTATGTATGCGTGTCTATAGCTCTAATGGAATGCCTCCCTTTCCTATTCACCAACATCACAAGCAGGCAGCTGGGCAATATATCCGTGTGTGTGTGTGTGTGTGTGTGTGTGTGTGTGTGTGTGTGTGTGTGTGTGTGTGTGTGTGTGTGTGTGTGTGTGTGTGTGTGTGTGTGTGTGTGTGTGTGTGTGTGTGTGTGTGTGTGTTCCAAGCCTCCCCCTGTGTTCAGTTGTAACCCAGAGCAGCGCTTTCATTTTCCTGTCATAACGTGTATTGATTTCCCTCAGCCTTGCAGCGACACTCACACACATACACACACAAACACACATACACACACACAGATATCCGATGATCCTAAAAGTCACACACACACTCACACACACATTCATATGCTCTTAAAGACACACTTACACACACATAGTTTGTCTCTGTCGGATAAGGAACATGGTGTTCAAAAAGCAGCCCCTGTTGGTGTGAGATTAGTTCTCACGTATGCTCCGCACTTTAACAATCACACACACGCAGGTGTGCGCACACACACACAACGCCGTCGCACACTCTTTTTGACATAAAACAGTAAATACGGCTGATTGCTAAATTAATCTTGCACGTCAGCGAAGCCCCTCATGGCCTGCGCTTGCTCGGGAGAAAGTGATCACGCTCGCCTTCCTCAGTGTTTTCTCATTTTCCCGTCGTACCCTCTCTGCTCCTCTCGTACCTATCTTCACCCTCCACCCTCCTCCACCACCCCCCTCCCCTTACCTAACCACCTCCAACTCTATTTGTATTGTAATTGCCTTGGTAAACAGCACCACTTTGGCACTGAAGCAGCTCTGATAGCTTGTGTTTGGGATGCACTGAGGGTGGCGATGCAGACACCATGAGTGTGTGTTTGCATGTAAGTGTGTTTGCGTGTCTGGCAGCAATTCAGCGCTTTGCATCACATAAACCTCTCTTCACACACACACACAACACACTCACATACACATGCACACGCCTTATGCCTTATGCTCAGTTTTTGCCACAAAACATTTCAGTCGATTCTGCTGTTTGTCAGACATGATTGGTTCTAGTCTGACTTTTTATTTCAGTGAAGATTTATTGAGGTTTCAGAAACGCGGCTACATCAGAAACTGCTCGGCTGAACAAGGGCTCATATTTGGAGATTTTTTATGAAGTACTTGTATGAGAATAAGATCTGATACTTCACTTTATTAGTATAAACTTCTTGGACCAAACAAAGATAAGATAAAGTTACAAACACAACTTTTGTTGCAGTTGTGGTTCTTGATATAGTAAGTCTACGATCAGCTTTGCTTACAGTTTAACTGGCAGGTTTTGTATGTGCATTTTCTTTTTGTTTGTTTTGACAAAAATCAAATGAAAACTTATCCTGCTGCACATGTTTTAGGTTTTAAAATACTTTGAAAGAGGTCAACAGTCTTTAGGTAACGCCTTATTTGCTTTTGAAGGTCATAGGCGTCAATTTTAGTTTCAGCCTGTTTCAAAACATCTAAAAACCTTTTCTTACAGGAAATCAGGGTTTTCAGAAGAATCATTTTCACAATTAAAAGACTATATTCTTTTAATGCTGACAATTTCCCACCATTTCTGTCAGTTCAAATAGAAAGATATTTACAATCTGAGCAACTTTTCTTGCAGAGAGCAAGATGGCGGACAGTTAGACGTGAGAGCAACAAAACTTGAGGGTTTTGAGGCGTGATTCTGCCATTGTTGATTTCTATTTGAATCCTTTAGATTTATCTTGGTTTATATTGTTAATAATCTGTCATAACCACTCTTAAAACTTTGGACATTTGTGAAACTCACTTGCAAAGACAACAAGACAAGATTTTGTTGGAATCTGAATTTGCTGCTGTCAGTTTAGAGAAGCATATCAGGTGGGGATCCAGGCAAGACGAACCCCACTTTGGGTGCGACCAGGCCAGAAGAGTTTAGGTTTTTGTCCTGCTTCTGAATCTGTAAGTTCTTAGTCAGTGCCTCATGTCTGTCTGTCTCCTCTCTCTCTCTTTCTTTGCAGTAAGACGATCATCTCACTCTCTGGCCACTGACATGTTTGAGCAGCACCTTGGAGCGCACCTTCTGCAGGTAACATTCACAGCACCCGCACCTCTCCTCTCTTAATTCTGATGATTTCATGTATGATTTGAACAGAAGATGTTTTATGTCGCTGAGTTTGTCCAAGAAATCTATCGTCATTGTCCTGAGGGAGAAACAAACTCTTCAGGAGCAAAAAAAAGAGAAAAAACTGCCTCTTAGTCAGCTTTTTGGCAACACGTTTTCATGTAGTCTAATGGATTTTCAAACGGTTTTATTCAGCTTGAGAAGAGGGAGCTTTTCTCAGCCTATAATCCCTCTGTTTATTAAAAAAAGTTTAAAACTACATCTGTTTTTCCTTTAGAGAGCTCTGCTTCCATGCCTTTGTTCAGAGAAACTTTAATTTCAGAAAAGATGACAAGTTTTGTCAAGTTTTTCTCTGACAGGCTAACATAAGTGACTGTGTTGTATTACAGTGTGTCTGCGCTGGGCAGATCACAGCCCGACTCTTCCTCCCTCGGTCTATCAGAGTTAGATTTCCAAGCAAACCCCGTGGAGCAAAGGCACAGGCGCTCACATTCACACACACGGACTCCCGCACGTCTCATGAACCTCAGACGCTCGGACGATAACACTGGCTGCCAAAGAATGCCTCCCTGTTGCACTGACAGATGAATGGAGCCTGAGGGGGTTTCTGGGGCAGGAGGGCTGGGGGGGGATGACGAAATGCAGGATGTGGAGACAAAGACTCAGAGGAAGTGCGGGGAAGGTAACAGTGCAGGTTTTAATTTTGAGGAGGAGAAGAGGCACACTAAAAAGAAAACCAAAGAGGAAACAGTCGGTCTTTGTCTCATATGAAACTTTGATTGTATTACTGATGAAAAGCACAACACAAATGATACTGATCTAATTAGATATCAAGTAGGAGCAGGAACAGGTGGAAACAGAAACAAAAAAGAAGAGGGAATAAAGATTAGAGTTGAACAGGTTGCGGTGAAACAAAGAAACGTCACATATGTCTGCTTTCTGCCGGCGTTTTAAAGAGGAAGGGAGTCTTAGGGAACGGCGCTGATAGAAATCAAATTAACGCTCCAGAAAAACTGTATGATTCTTCCCTCCCAGCCGTCCTCCCGCTGTAATAGCTTGATAATTGCACTTTAGTTCTCCGACATTCAGGCGGCTGGTTTTCTCCTCGCCGCGACACACGACGCCCCGCACCCCGGCCACACATTTGCATACTGGATGTGTCAGTTGCATAAATTACCACTGCCACTTTAAACGCAGGGCCGCCAAAATAGCAATCATTCTTCTAGAGCAAAGTGGCCCCGGTCTGTGTGTGTCTGTGTGTGTGTGTATGTGTGTCTGTGTGTGTGAGTCTTGTTATGACGATTAGTATTATTCTCTGAAGCAGTCCTCTCTAATGGTCTGGCTGTATACCTTTCACTTCTCATTAGAATCACTACAAACTGTAATGACTCTGGTTCTGTCTGTGTCTGTGTCTGTACCCATGTCTGTGTGTGTGTTTGTTGTGTGTGTGAGTGTGTGTGAGTGTGAAGCCGCAGATCCAGGCTGTAGTTTGGAGTTTTATCACAGTGGATCCAAACAGCTCTGCTCTTTAAAATCACTTTCTCATGTCTCCCTGCTCAATTTGTTTGTGTACCGTTTGTGTGTTTGGATTTTTTTTTTTGGGTAGATTTTTGTGCCTCTTCTTAAGTGTGTGTGTGTGTTTGTGTGTACATGTGTGTTTTGTGTGTGTGAATTGAGACAAGGGGCCGAAGGGTGACGGGTTGTTTGTTCTCCAGCTCATTGTAATTTGTTCGATACACACTAATTGCTCTAATTTGTTTGTCTGTCTTGTTTCTGTTTGCTTTTATGTGTGTGTGTGTGTGTGTGTGTGTGTGTGTGTGTGTGTGTGTGCGTGGGGGGTGATGTGTGTGTGTGTGTTTTTTTTCTTTTATGCGCACAGTCTCTGGATGGCTTTGTGTTTGTGGTCAGCCATGAGGGACGCTTCCTCTACATCTCAGAGACGGTTTCTATCTACCTGGGACTCTCACAGGTATGACCACCTCATCGCCAACACACACACAAATGCACACAAACACACGCACACCTGAAGTCTTTGTATACAAGTGCATCTGCACACATGCGCCTCTCTTCTGCTTACACTTTCATATCCCTTCCCTGGAGTGTGTGTGTGTTTGTGTGTGTATGTGTGTGTGAGTGTGAATATCTTTGACTGCACTCTTCGCGCTCATCTCTGGAGTGCGACTCTCTCGGGAGCCGTGGCGCTCCGGCTCTACCTCGCTCTCCCGCCCTCCCTCTCTCTCCAGGTGCTCACCTCTGTTGATTGCCTGTGGCCTCTTGTACTGTGAATGTTAAGTCCTGCCATTTTGCCCAGATGCATAAATAATAACAGTAATTACTGGCCCAGCAATCAAAGTGTCGCCCCAGCGCGCTGGGCCTGTCTAGGGGAACAAATCGATAGGCATCTTAAAAGCCACATTGATTGTAGGGAGGGGGAAAAACACCAAGGGGGATGGGAAGATAGATAGAGACAGCCGGGGAGAGAAAGAGAGGGGGAGGAAAGGAGGAGAGGTGTGATAAGAGAGAGATGTTTCCAAGTAAGAGGAATCGGTAGAGCATTACTTAGGGTTACAATAACAGAAGAAATGGAGTGTTTCTGTATGTGGAAATTTTGCAGTGATTAACGCCCTGCCCTCGGTGACTTTGAATGAAATGGAGGATAAAGGCCAAGGAGGAAAAACTTTCAGATGGGACTGGCTCGTGTTGTGTTAAAGTTGTTGTTTCTTTTTTTTTTAAAGTTAAAGAGTGAACATTTCTTTTACCCAGCTAATGAATGAGTGGGGGTTTGACCAATTATGGAGGTTATCTGAGACATATTTGCTGGTGTTTTTGACATATTTCAGTTCAGTTAAAGTCAAAAAGTGTGAGTTCCCTGAGAGGGGGGACTTCGGTGTGGTCAAAGTGGCAAAAAATCGATTTATTACCTTTGTCCGACTGAAACTGGACTTTTAAAAACATGTAAACACATTAGTCCAGAATTCTCAGAGTCAAACAAACATACTTTGATAATGTGGTTGGGGAATCGATCCTCTCATCCACATACGGCTCAATCGGACTGAAACTGGCCACAGCGTTCTTCGCATGCTCAGGTCTTCACACAGCAAAACCTTGACAGATGAAGACTAGCTAAAAGGAGGCATGTCTCCACCTACCATACAGAGGTGGACACATGTCTGTCAACAATTTGAGTTTTGGGACAAGGACAGAAGTCCAGTTGAATCGCCTAGTCCATCTTTAACTATACTTTGACTTAACTGTTCATGTTAACGTACGAGTGTGTCGCACCTGTTACTACACCAAACATTGATGCCATGATGATCAAACAAACCTTGTTGAACATCTGGACATCACTGCTGCAAAGTGATCAGAAAACAAGTAGATTTGTTTGGTAGCAGTGCCAGTATGGAGAGGATGGTGGTTCATAACTCAAAAAGGACAACTTGAAGTTCGTGTTTTCCAAATACTGTGAAATGACGATGCACAAATATACGCTCATGCCTAAAACTTTAAACGTATGAGGGCAAAAAATTTAAAGATAACCAGCCAAAACAGAAGAATAGAGGGTTTGAATCTAGAAAACAGAAGAAAACGGAACAAACAGAGAGACAGAGAAACACATAACAACCCAGACAGACAATTTCAAGAGCGAAAGAAAACAAGGGAGAGGAATGAAGGAGAGAAAGAGAGACAGTGGTACAGAGCAGCGAGAGAGTCTGAGAGTGTAAATAGAGTTTAAATGTGCAGTAGGAATGAAATTCGCCTTGGGATTGCCTAGGTAAACAAGACAGCCGAGGCTTTGGTGGAGATGCTAATAAAACAGAGCTGTTCTTATCAGCTGAGCAGATGGCCTAACCCATCACATCTTCTCAAACAGGGCCGCAGCCATCAGCATTCTAATGAAATTATTTATGATCGAAGATTACGCCCAAAACCTTGAACATACAACGCCACGTTTACCTTCCTGAAAAGATGAGAGCGAGGGGGGATGACGGGGTTTATGAGGAGAAAGAGAGACAACCTGAAAGGGCAGACAGAGTCAGAAGATGAGGAGTTGAGTCAGGAGGGTGTATGTACGGAGGGTTTATGGACATATAGGGCCAGAAATCTGAAAAAAGAGTCAAACTCAAACAGTTACAGGACAAATCGGTTTGAGTAAGTATTTCACATTGTACTCACATAGAACTTATTGTAATGTGACATGATTATTCATTTTATTTATCCAGGTTAAATTTAAGGTCTTATTTACGAGAAGGATCCAGTGAAATGTAACAGCAATACACACCTTTAATGATAAACTAGCAGGTGTAAAAGGTTGTTCAAAATAGTCAGCTAAAAAAGGTCCACACAGGCAGCCTGAAGTCAAAAGATTTCACTTTAAATGAAGATTCACAGTTGAAAATCAGTCTGTTTTTTGTTTGAAATTCATTTCTGACTTTAAACACAACAACCTGCAACAATATCCACCACACGAAAAAAGGTTACTAATTCAATCCTCCAAGATTTTCGACGTATGGAAAAGTAGTACAAATGAAAAGATACTAGCATGGCGCTCAAGTCAACATTTTGAATATGAAACACAACTGTGAGTGAGAAACCCACAGTTTGTAACAAATCCAGTTCAAGAGTCTTCACACTGACGGGCGGGTAAAAAAGTGGACTTCATAAGTTTGATGAAAGGAGAAGCAGGGCTTGTTTCCTGACGGAGTAAACATGCTGCTGAAAATGAAGAGCCTGAAATATTTAACTACCTAAAGTACATTTTATAAAACTTTAATAAATCTTGTCATCATAATTGTTTTTTTAGTCTTTTTTCCCATTTTAATGAGTCAGTTCCTCCAACTTGAAGAATTTTTAACCCTCTAAATGCAAGTTTATTCACACAATTCCACTGATAACTTTATGGCTTATACTCCATATTCTAAATGTTAAAAAGGATTTTTGTTGATTGTTGTTGTTAAAAACAGTCTGGATCATGTCAGTGCTGAGCTGTAAAAACTAATATTAATTGATGCTGACGAACAGTAATTGCTGTTGATCCCAATAAATCACATTTTTTATATCACCTCTAGAGTTTTGCATTTAAAACGAGCCGGTCAAGACAAGCCAAAGTGAGAATGTCCCTCAGACCCGAGTTGATTGGCCTGCAATAATTTGCGATCGATTGGACTGCGGTCTGAGGCGTTTCAAACTGGCCCTACCTGATATTTGGGATGCACCTAACACCGGCAAACTCAATGTTGACGCATTCATTTAAATTTTTTTTGTCATGTCTGATTTGAAAAATAAATCACATTTGCCACCTTAAGGGACAAAAAGTTACATACACAAATATTTCCTTAAGTCAAAATTTCACCAGCTGTATTTTATCAACTCCAAATAATGATAAACTTCTGTTTGTTTATATTTTATTTTAAAAAACAGACAGAACAAAATGTCAAATTGCCTGTTAAAGCAGTCTGAATATTCATTTTACACCTGTCACATTCTCACACGGATTAAAACCAAACACACACAAAAAGAGAGAGAGAGAGAGGGAGGGGAAGAGGTGGGAGGCAGAGGACAAAACACTTGGACTTGGTTTTCTGGCTAAGAGTGGAGGCAGTCACAGGGGAGAGAGGAAGGACAGACAAACAAACGATGTTCGGAGCTAAAAGTGTAACTGGTGGTTTGTTTTAGAGGGCATGTCGCCCCTGTGGACCGCCCCTGCCCTACCGTCTCCTGTCCCCCCCTCTCGTCTGACCCCACTGCCCCCAGCTTATACCCTGGGCTGCTCCCCTGACAGGGGGGTTGCTTAGCCGGCTTAGCCCAGGTCAGGCACCTTGACCAAGGGCACAGCCCGCCGCCCACTCCCCTGGCGCCTCCAGGTATCATTTTTCTTCTCACCGGGTCTCGGGGCCGGAAGCACGGGGGGATAAACCGGGGGAAGCCACATAGAGGATGAAAGGATGGGGGGGGGGGGGGAGTAGAGGAGGCTGGAGAGGAAGAGGAGACAAAGGAGGAGATGAAGAATTGGAGGGAGGAGAGACGAAAAGGATGGAGAAGTAAGAGCAGAGGCCGGGGTGGAGAGAGAAAAGGGACAAATGGGGTAAAGAGAAGGGAGGAAGGATGGTAGATTAAGGGAGGAGAGAATTGATCTGGGAATGGTTAGTATGCAGCCCCCGCTCCCCCTCTCCCCCCTCCTCCCTCTCCCCCCTCCCATCCTCACTCCTCCCATCAGTCAGTGAGGGCTGAGGGCTGAGAGTGTGTTGTGGACCACTGCCCGGATGCCTCATACATATTAAAGCCCCCTGCTATTATTTATATCATGTCTCTCCTTCCCCTGCTTGCTGCCCTCCTCCTCCCCCCCCCCAACCTCACCCATCCCCACCAAACTGCCATACATACATGCACGTGGTCTCCACACACACACACACAGGTTCACACAGATGCACTGGCAGACAACTCCTCACACAAACAATGACACACAATGACGCGTGGAGACACAAAAACAGACAGTCTAGTCACATACGCAGAGAAACAGAGGCGCGCCGTGTGCTTGCATACACACACATACGCACACACACACATACACACTCACTCTCTGAGAGATTTGAATGATCTGGATCCCTCCTCACGTCTCCCCTCGCGCCACTTTCTATACCTGTTTTTATGTCTGAGCCTGACTCATCCCCTCAATCGCTCCGTCTCTTTCTCATCTGCTCATTTCTGTCTGATCTTTTTTCAATCCCTCCCCTCTGCCTGTGATGGAGTGATATTATTCGGATAGGTCTTAAGCCCGCTAAAGCCTGTAAGGACCCGTTTGTCTCTCAACCTTGTTTTCCAATACCACAGGGCCAGGGGATTGTGTCTTTTTCAGAGGGGCCGGACCACTGTTCTGAGCAGAGGTACATTCAGACTGTTTAAAAAATGAAGAGGAGGAATTCCCCACGCTGAAGAATCACTTTTCATAAAACATAAATTGATCGATAGGTAGAAAGATAGATGGATATATAGATAGAAATGTGTTTTTATACACTTTATATCAAATGAAAATATGGGACTGCAGGTTTGGCATAGCGGTTAAATTTCACACTCCATGTACAGAGACTGGCATGTCCTTTGCCACATACCAGTGCCCTCTCACTCTCTCTCTTCCCGGTCTCTTACCCTGTGAATAAACGTTAAAAATAGCCACTTTGAGCCTCTGATCCCCAGGCAGCAAAAACGGTCCATTTTGCAGATTTTCAGTCACAGTGAAACTAAACTTTGCGAATCTTTTTCTTCTCTACTGGTGCAAATTTTCCCAGTTTTGGATGTGACTGAAATCTCCAAGAAAACATACACTACGTCTGTAATAAACAGACCTAGCTTGAACTATTATCACTCCCGTGTTATAAACACAGTCAAATCCTTATTTTAGATTCTAGTTCGGATGAGTTGAACAGTCTGTGTTGTTGTGATTGCTCGTCTGCTCTGGTGTGGACTTTAAGAGTTTATCTGCACTGGAGTCGAAGTCTTCCACAGACTGCATAAATGTCGAGTTTGCCACCTTGAGGAGTAAACAAGGATTAAAGTTTCATCCCGGGTCAGGAGTGATCATACCCCCTGAAAGTAGATGTCTGATTATACTTTTTTTAAGCTGAAGCTGAGCAGAATTAGATTTCATTTTTATTAAACAGGAAAAAGGGAAACTTTGGTATATGACTATGAAGAAGTAAATTCTTTAACTTGTCTTCAGTGTATGATAATAAACTTAAAAGTCACAATTAATGTCATTAAACTGCATTTAGACAAGTTTTAATATAACTCAGGCTCTCTATGTTTAGTGCTTGAATTGATGAGACCTTTTAAAATTGAATATTTGGGTATTTTATAACTACAGCTGTTGTTGTTTTTTCTTTGAAATCATTCTCCATTAATTTTTTCGTCTTTAACCATCCTATCACTGTCATATAAAGATTAACTGTGTGTCAAATACAGTAAAAGAAACCAAAAGGCTCATAAACATCAGGAAGTTGTCGGGTTAAAACACATATTCTCTCAGTAAATGTTGAAACTACAGTGTGTTTGGTCGATTTTGAATTACAGGGAGTGAAGCTGAAAAAAAATGAACAAAAAAAAACAAAAAACAAGGGCATCCCCGAAAAGATTAAGCCGCTCCTGTTCCAGACTAAAAAACCCCTATCCTCCCTCACTTTGTTGGGGCTCCCTCCATTGTTTCCCCCTCATCTTCCACCACTGTCATTCCTCCGCTCCCACCTTCCCCGACTTTCCCACTACTTTGCTCTCCCCCGGCTGTGATGTCCTTGAGGGCCTGCTGAAGCTCCCATAAAGCCCGCAGTAAATGGCTCTAATCCGGTAATAAATGGCCGTGTCCTACAGACAAGGGTGTGAGGCTGCTGCAGCCACGGCTTTATCAGATGGAATGGTATTGGCACACACACACACACATGCGCACACACACATTCACAGATGTAATAGAAGCTGCATACATGTGTGTGTCAGCCCTCTCTCTCCCTCATTTATACAGCTTCAGATGGAATCACATCTGCTCCGATTGTGCTGCTTTTATGGATGCCGTGCATGAGCAGCGCGACGATTACCTTTAAATGATTAGAAATGCGACTATGATGCATTATGATGATAGGATCATATAGAGCCGTATGAGCTGTTGCATTGCTCTTTATGCCTGCTGGGATGGACTGTAACTGAATGAAGGAGCGGGGAGGGAAGAGGGGAAGAAGAAGAATAGTAATGTGACCTTTGGAGATACTTGGAGTTCACCTGTTTTTAATCAGCAAATACAATTGATTTTTATCTGCCCTGGTTTTATTTGTGTAATACTGTAGTCACTTGCTCCTCTGAGACAGGACTTTAATGTATGTGAATCTCTGTGTGTGTCTGTGTGTGTGTGTGTGTGTGTGTGTGTGGGAATGTCTTACAACCTCCACTCTCCTTGTTGAGTTGTAACCCTGAGCAGGGCTTTCATTTTCCTGTCATAACGTATATTGATTTTTTTTCCATGTGTGTGTGTGTGTTTGTGCTCCAAGCTTCTGTTTTTTGATCAGCGAGTGTGTTTCTCTTCAGGTGGAGCTGACTGGCAGCAGTGTGTTCGACTACATCCACCCCGCAGACCACGTGGAGATGGCCGAGCGGCTGGGGATCAAGCCACACTTGAGGGCGGAGGCCGGCTGTCACACGGCCCCCGAGAGTGCCTCCAGCTCTGCGTCAACCTCCTCCCTGGCCGGTACACCTGAACCTGGTACTGAATATACCACCAACTAAAGACAGAAGAATAAAAAATCAGGACACTAGGATAACAAAGTCTAAGCGTGTGTGTTCTCTCTCTCTTTTTTCAGCTCCATCAAGTCCTCATTCCCCTGCTGATGACCCTCCAGACCGCGGCTTCTTCATCCGCATGAAGTCCACTCTCACCAAAAGAGGCCTGCACGTCAAGTCTTCTGGATACAAGGTACAAATGTCAGGAGAAATAACTTACCCTGATCTGAAAACAGGCCTTGTAGTGCACTCCTATTTACCTGCCTGTTCTTGATGCGGTGAAATAACAAGCAGACCTCTGTCATTTTGTTTTGCGCCGCCTGAGTTTCATAGCACTGTCAAGTCGGTCGTTTTCAGGTTGTTTTATGGCTCTGACCTTATTTCACACTGGACTGCCGCACATCACAGTTTACTGCACTGACTGCTCTAATACCTGCTGCTGCTTTCTCTTGCTCTGCACCCAGCTTTGTATCGTGTTTATTAAACTTTCATTGATTGATGTTTTATTCTCGGTTACGTTTGTTGTTCCTGTTATTTTCTACTTCCGCAGATCATTTTCCTCTAGATGAAGTCTTGTTGTTTTCTGTTTTGTTGGTCAGGTGATCCATGTGACGGGACGAATCCGCTGCCGCCCCGCGCTCGTGCCGGGCTCCACACGCTCTGTACGTCGACCGATGGGTTTGGTCGCGCTTGCTCACACACTCCCGCCCTCCACTCTTAATGAAGTCCGCATGGAAAGCCAAATGTTTGTCTTCAGAGTGAACATGGACCTACAGGTTACATACTGTGAAAACAGGTAAGAACTGTCCAGTTGTTGAATCCACACACAAATGACGGTCATTTCTAGAATCCTGTGTTGAAGTGCTCCCACATGTTTTTTCATGAATTGTTGGCAGCAGCAGCAGCTTCTCTGCCAGGTGGCTCTTTCAGGAGACACATCAGGACGTACGAGTTCATGTGGTGTTTTGTTTCTGAACAGGATCTCAGAGTATATGGACCTGACCCCGGCAGAGGTGGTGGGACATACATGTTACCATTTCATCCATGTAGAGGACCTGGAAAACCTCCGGCAGAGCCACGAGGACCGTGAGTCAAAAACCCCACATGCATGAGTAAAGTGTGACGCTTCATCCTCACCACACATTACTGCACACACAGTCTGAACTTTGGGATCTTGATGGATCAAGTACAGCCTGCTCAATCTCTCGGAGAGTTGAAGTGATCGGCGCCCTCTGCTGCCTTCAAACTGAACTACAGATAAATGACAGCCTTCTTTTCTGTCCTTTTCCTCGTCTCTTCCTGTTTCAGTGCTGCGGAAAGGCCAGGTGGTGACGGGTTACTACCGCTGGCTCCAGAGGAGAGGGGGCTACCTGTGGATCCAGTCCACGGCAACTGTTTCCATCAACCACAAAGCCCCCCACGAACGCAACGTCATCTGGGTCAACTATGTCCTGAGGTCAGAAAAAAAAAAAAACAGACTAGAGCGGCACTTTTTTTTTTTTTTTTTAAACTGCAGGACTGCTGATGTGAAGCGAGCGTAGCCACGCCGGCACCACGCTGTGTACAGAGATCCTTTGAAGGGATTGATGATGAAATACAGACGGATTATTGAAGGAGTTTCTCTCTCTCTCTTTCTCTCTACGACGTGCGAGAAAACTGACGAGGATACTTTCAAAACGGGGACATCAAAGCAAAGCACATTATCAGTTAATGTTAAACTTAAAAAGTTAATGGCTTTTCAAATCTTTTATAAATATTGATGACAAACTAATCTTTGTACGAACTTGAAGGATGACCAAATTTGGGTTATCTGTAGTCGTCTGATGCTTCATGGATTTTGAACTAATTTGTTATTTCCCTTAAAAGACAAAATAAATATTACAGTGAACACAGAACCAAAAGTAACTCTCAGAGATTTTATGAAGTTGTCTGTGAACATCTTCTCTCTTAAAATTGTGGGCATGAATTTTTATCAGAATGGTTTAAAAAGTAGGAAGCAAAATTGGAGATGCTGTGCCATGATTCCTGTACTTTTAAAATGTTTTTTGCCTTTTTTCTTAAGACTCTTTTTCTTCACCAGACAGACACATCTGCAGTAACCTTGACAAAATATGCTTTTCTCGAATTCCCCCTCTCTTGTACTCATCCGGAGCGAACGCACTCGGCGTACAAACACGAACACAAACGGCTCATAACAATACTACGTGCGTAGCCACAGAGCATTCAGACAAAAACAAGAGGAGGAGGCTGAATTTCAATGCTAATTGGACTGAAGCTATATAATTACAACAAATGGATGTCAGAATTTTGGGGCTGAATGGTGTTTTAGTTAATTAGTGCTGTAATTACAAGAGCTCATTAACTTTTCCAGCAGCCTCCTCCTTGTCTGAGCTTAACCGTGTATAGGTGGGCTGCTGAGTGGAGCGCAGAGTGTGTCTTTGTGTGTTTGTGAGGATGGGGTCTGACTGTTTGTCTGCATGCATGTCAGTGCTGGTGTGTGTGTTCGGTGGAGGTTAGAGGGGTGTGAGGCAGTTTTGGCGATTGGAAGTTGTTATTAGGCTGATTATATGTTGTTTCCATTGTAAGTATTCACTCAATCAGTGCAGCACAAGTGTTTTTTTAAAGCTGTGAGTGGTCTGAAGTGGTAGATGATCATTTTTACCACCTTTTTTTTTCTTCCATTTTCTCCTTTTTCCATTTTTTACATCAATCAATCCAGTCGAACAGAGCTGCCCGACACTCCCCTGGATCTGCTGCAGCTACCGGAGAACGTGAGAGCAGAGCGACTCAGAGTTAGCTCCTCCCCCGCTGCCAGCTCCCCACAGGCCCGAGGTGAGAGGCGACACACACGTGTGATAGAGAGCTCAATGACACAAACGCACACCTGTTCAGATCTTTACTTATTTGATGAATTCTTTTTCTCTCAGGATCGCAGCAGACAAAGAGCTCAGCGGGGAAGAGCGACCCTGACTCGAAAGCGAGAGAGAAGTTCTCAGCAGCCACCATCCAATCAGAGGACAGAAGGAAGCGCCTGCTGAGGTCCGAACCTGAAGGAGCTCCTCCTGAAACCCGCCGCAGGATGGAGGAGCTCCGTCACGTGGAGGAGAGTGTATCGGCGTCCTCTGACTTGGCCAGTGAGAGTGAGGGGGAGGAAGAGGAAGAGACAGAGTGGGACCAAGGGGGAGACATTGACAGATTGAAACAGGAAGACATCAGCAGGGGAGGAGGTAAACAGAGCAGAGGGGGAGGCGGAGGAGGAGGCGGAGGAGACAGCCCGACTCGGGGCAGAGAGAGAGGGGGCCGGGCGCACAACGGACGGGCTGTGATCCAGCAGCTAAAGAGCGTAGTGACCCCGTCTCCCCTGCCTGGCAGCCCCAGCATCAAAACTGAACACGAAGCCCTGACCACCGGGGGGCGCTGGGGGTCACACACGCAAACCTCCACGTCGCACACACACACCACGCAGCCCTCACATGCACACACACCCTCCAGCAGCCTCAACGGGGACAGCCCCACCACCCCGATCCCCGACTCTTCCTCCAGCAGCGATGCTCCTCCGAAAGGCCTCTTCACTCCCCCCTCCCCGGCTCTGTCCCCCGCCATGTCAGTGTCCTCCCCTCTTCCCCGTGACGACAGGGTGGTGTCGGGGGCCATCAGTCGGAGCAGCGGAGGAGCAGGTACCGGCCCTGACTTTGAGCTGCTGCAGAGACTGGCTGCAGGCGGCGCAGCAGGTCGGGTCCTCTTCCACCCCCTTGCCCTCGGCCCTCAGGGCCCCCAGAGCCTCTACGCTCCCAGCACCATCCGCTACGCTCCGCCTGAGCTGCCCCCCTCCCACCACCACAGTGCAGGACACGGGGACGGCCTGCAGCTACGCTCAGACCACCACAAGGGACCCCCGCCGGCCTTCTTTCCCCACCTGCAGCGGTTGGCCGGCCTGCCACCCTTCAGCGGTTTCTCTCCGTCTGACAGCCCGTTCTCCTCCGGTCTGCCTTTCTGTATGAACGGACTGAGGGGGGCTGCGGGCTCCGAGGAGGACTGAGACTCAGAGAGGAGAGGATGAAAAATGAAGGACAGAGCGGAGCAGAGTGACAGACCAGAAAGAGAGGCGGTGAAAAGGGCAGCAGAGACAAAAGTGGCAGGACATTAAGCCTCTAAGGACATTACTAATTGGACGATGAGTTGAAAAACTGCGATCTAAAATCGGTGACAAGTCGCTGCCATGGGGAATTATTATGTCAGTCTGTGACAAAGCGCAACATGGGAACTTTTGACGTGTTGTCTCTGCAGACTTTTTGTCTTTACACCAATAATGAACTCTGCTCTGTGTCTTTCTCTCGATTACTGTGTTTCTGTGTCTCTTCCACTCAGAGAAGCCATATTGTACATAGACAAAACCATAAAGACCCTCAGCTCACATCCTCCTCACTGTCATCCAGATTAACAAAATTAACCCTAAAGCCAGTAGAAAGAAAGAGAGAAAGAGAGAAAGAGAGAGGGACACTCTTCTGTAGGAATGAAAGTGACTTTGGGATGTAAACTTTTATTGTTGCAGTATTATCAAAATCATCTCTGACACAGGTGATTATAGGGTTAATCTTAAAATAGATGGAGACAGCCCGCTGGTGTTTTTTTAATGAGATTAAAAATAATGAAAATTAAAAAAAAAAAAAAAAAAAAAAAAAAAAAAGACAAGTATTCACCAGTCAGCCATACTTAAAGCACACTATTGGGACAAAAATATGAATTAAGTCGTCCCAGACATTCCATTATGTATAAGGGAAGAAAATGCAATGAAGACGGACGTTATTTCTGTTGTTTGATTTTAGGGAGGTCATTTGTTTAACTAAGTATTAATTACAGTAAATTCTGTATGATGCTGCGGTCGTGTTTGTGTATGAAAGCCATATTCTTGTTTTTTATTTCGATGTTTTTATTGCTTTTATTACCAGATAATATGGATATAAGAATGGTGTGATAATTATGTCTAGTCCGAGGGGATAACTTTGTTTACCGGATGTAAAATATCATCCAACTACCTTTTTATTAGTCCCTATAAGAAAAAAAAAATTATGAGTGTTTTTTTTTGGAGGGGGAAATGTTGTTCTCATTTAAACCTGTGTTGTTGTTTTTTTCTGAGCACTTACTGAAATTAGTTCTGTTGTGAACTCAAAGCACTATATCACTTAACACTGACAGTGTGATCCTGTTAAAACAGAAAACAATGCAAAGAGTGGTCACTCATATGATAGCCTGACCACAGTGAAGAAGAGAGGGGATGGATAAACAGACCAGGGAAGGTCATTAAAAGACGACCAGGAGAGGTCAATAAAAAAAAAGCGGAGTTATCCTGATGGTTTCAGTTCAATTCAGAAAAACTTCAAAATAAAAGTCATGGAAGTACGAAACACTTTAAATTCCTGCTCTACGCGGTTTAACTGGAATTCATTATAAGACTCTAGAAAGTAGAAAAAAACAAAATGATTTTTATATTTTAAAAAATCACAAAACGCTTTTCATTTTTCTATTTTCAGCTGACGTGAGCCCTGAAGATTTTTCTCATTTTTGTCTTAACAAAATCTTGAAATCAACACAATTAAATACATTTGGAATCAAACGGTGAGATAAAATTGAATAATAATCATCCCTAATGACTGAAAGATAAACTTCTAGCACAGCACTTTGCAGTCAAGTCCTTCAAACTGATTTATCATAAAATCAAAATTCAAAACATTTTTACAATCTGTTGAAAAATGACCCCACACACTGTATGCAAGTCATTTTGGTGTTTTAATCTTAATTTGATTTCATGGATCTGGAACCTCTGAAGTTCTGACGATAAAAGAGTTTTTCTTTAAAAAAGCATTTATAATTGTTTCGATCCGACGTGCACTACACACCCAAACTGCAGCCGCCACGTACCAGCGTGTGAGCGAGCGAGCGCACACATCCTCGGGTGTTTAACGGTATAGCTTGTGTGTATGACTGTGTATGTGTGTGTATGCAAGAATCTTTTTCCTGTTTTTTTTTTTTTTGTGTGTTTTTTTAATTGAATATCTAACCCCTTGCCCATCACTGTGAAGCTAACGTTATCCTCCATCTTTGTGAATACTTCACCAACTCATCAAATAAAATGAGCAAATGTAAAAAGAAACAGTGATACAGATGACAATAACAATAAAATATTCCAGTAGAAGAGCACAACTCAAGGCTTTGTTGTTTGTTTCTTGCTTTACATACATTCGACATTTATTATATACATGAAAGTGCACAATTTAATGTAGTTCCTGCAAGGATAATTGAGCTTTCACATGGAAATAAAGCAGAGCAACAGGGACTTACTTTGAAGTAAAAACAAACTTATTGTGTTGACATGTATCCTCAATATTTCAGGCGTATAAGAGGCCTTTGTGTTAAACCTCAAACTTCATATGTTGGGGAATTTAAAGATAAAACACTCATGTTGATCTTGTGTAAAAGTAGATTATGAGCAGGTGAGAGCGGCCCGAGCAGGAAGCAGGACACCACCTCAGTGTTGTTTGGTACAACACAGACCTCTCTATAAATCTGTCTGACAGCAACACAAAAGCACAAAGAGTGTCTCACTGATTACAGACTGTATGTCGGCATGCATTATGATGTGTGTGTGTGTGTGTGTGTGTGGGTATGTACATTGGTGGTTTGCCTGCTCGGCTGTGCGCGTATGTGTGTGCATCTCCATGAATTTGCGATTGCGTGTGTGTGTTGTCTGAAGCAGCCCCAGGGAGGGGCTCTGACATTGAAGACGGGTTAAATCCTGTTTTACATTCAAGTGGCAGGCCCTAGTTCATTAGAGTGAGGATCATTCCTCCTCAAGACCAAAGGAAGCGCATACTAAACAAGAGCAGTTGTTGGGGAGAAAATGCCATTGTACGTGCAAAAGCGTATGTACTGTATGAGTGAGAGTGTGTGCTGATGTGCACAACCTCTGCTTTCTTCTTTATATCTTCTTTCCTGTGGAGTACTTCCACAGTTGGAGTCATTGTGCATTGTTTGTGTCAATGTGCATGTGTTTGAGTGGTAATGTGTGTGTGCACAAGTCATGGCAGCTCTGCTGACTGTCTCCCACTCTGCCTGTCATTGAGTCACCCATACGCCCTCTCTGTCACTGACTTTGATGGCTTATCTTACCCCCTGAATTGGAGTCGTGCTCCCGAGGGAAATACCTGAGCACATGTAAATGCATTTGAAAGAGTAAAAATATGGGTAAGAATAATAGAGTGAGGGATGGAGGGAGACATGCAGACAGCTCCTACCTGACAGGAGCGCACTGCACCTCCACAACTATCTCTCTTTTCTCAATCCTTCCTCTGCTACATCTACTATTTTGTCACTTTTTTTTCCAATGTTCTCCTCTCAGGTAGGAGAGGGCCATCCATAGTTAATGCGATTCTCAAAGCAGATTCTTTGAACCATACTCGTGGCATTTAACACCTGAGAGCAGATGAGCAACCTGCACTCAAAACAACCCGCTCTCAGAGTGTGCGGCGCAGCTTTGGAGATGCATGAGGCTAGATCTGGACTTGGAGCTGTGGCTGATGGTGTTGTGGTTTCTGTAGCTGCACGGGGTCTGGGCTAGATGGTGTTTGTCAGTGAGGGCGCGTCTCCTGCCTCTGGGCGCCCTGCCCTTTAGACGCGCCAGGCCTCAGGAGCCTCCTGCATGCCAAACAGACCTGTGCAGTCAGATGGAGGAGAGGAAAGAAGAGGAGGGAGAGGGGAGGGGAAGGAGAACGTGAGGAGGAGACCAGAAAGAAAAGAAAGAAAGAAAAGACTGGAGGGCGAAAGGGTAGAAGAGGATCTGAGGGAGGAGAGAGGGGCTTGAAGGGGAGGAGGTGCTGGTCACACTGCAGCAGCCGTCCAGACACACCCTGCATGTGAAACACAGCTGCACTGAAACGCCCTGGGAATCAGCGAGAGAGAGAGAGAGAGAGGAGGGAGGAGAGAGGAGGGAGGAGAGAGAGGGTGACTCTGAGGTGAGTCTCAACAGCAACACGGTGTGTCGATGGCCGGGAGATATCACAGACCTTCGCCCTAACCTAGTCACTGATAGTTATCACAGACAGAACCCCCCTCCGATCACAAGCGCACACACACACACACACACACACACACACACAGAACTCCAGGCTGCCCAGTTCAGTTCATATATCCAAACAAGCTGGCAGATGAGCAGCTCATTATAAGAATTATGCATGTACAGCCTGTGTGCGGACAGTTTGTACATCTTTTGACTCCCACTGTAAGGAGAGTTATCGCTGACTCTGACAGCACACATGCATCTCATTTGGCTTTAATTCAACATCTTCTTTTGATGCTCTGGTTCCAGGTGGAGCCGATCATTTGACGGCCGCAGTCGATCGGTTTATGTTTAAGATCAAAGAAGGAGATATTTGTATGGGGATGAATATAAGTATCAATCACTGGAGTGCGTTTTGTAAAAAGCATTTATATTCTTTAATTTTAAATGCCAGTAGTATTTTCAAATGATGCTCAAAGACCTTTTTTTAGTAGAGTCAGTACAGACAACATATATTTACCTCCCTTTAAACCATGACTTTTTATCACATTTATTATAAAACACAAAATGAAGGTTTTGAATGATAAAAATATTCTCCAAAGGGCCAAAAGGGTGTGCTGCTGGACTATTAAAGTGTGTGGGTAAGGGGCCCCTCTCAGCGGTCCCCTCAAGTTTAAGCAGGTTTGAGGAGTTTGAGGAATCAACATTTTTTGAAAATTACTAATATATTACAGCAAAAGACACCGCCAGAGTATGTGTATCTGTCGACCTGGGACGAGACCGCAGCCCACTCAATATCCTGGAAGACTCATCAGAGACAGCCTCAGAATAACCGCTTCGAGATTATGTGCAGTGGATATGAAAAGTCTACACCATCCTGTTAAAACGCCAGGATTTTGTGATTTAAGAAAATGAGATAAATCGTTTCAGGACATTTTCCACCTTTACCTGTACAACTTGATTGAAAAACAAATGAAATATTTAAAGGGAGGGGATTAAAAATAAAAAACTAAAACAATGTAGTTGCCTAAATGTGTACACCCTCATGACTCTGGAGGCGTCTGTGTTCAGAATTAACCAATCACATTCAAAGTCATGTTGAATAGGCGTCAATACACACCTGCCGTCATTTCAAGAGCCGCTCATTAACCCCAAATAAAGTTCAGCTGTTCTAGTCGGCTTGTTCTGACATTTTCTTTGTAGCATCTTGCAGCAAAAGTTTGGGTCTGCAGAGTGGATTCAGGTCGTTTCCAGGCCAGGCACAGGAGATGTCCTCGCAAACCTGACAGGTAAGGAGTGTTTTTGCGAAGAGTACACTTTAAATGCAGCCCTGCATATTTTTTTGGGTGTAACAGTGTTATTAAAAAATTATCAAGTCTTACTGTTTTACAGAATTAGCACTTTGAAGCTCCTGAGTCATGGTTTCACACCACGCTGGTGTAGCAGTGCAGCATTTATTTGAATTATAAATCTAAAAGTAAATATAGACGAGGATATTTCATTCATTTAGTTCTGATATTAACAGTTGCAAATTGCTTTAAATTAAAATTTCAGATGTGTTTAAAATGTGATTTGTGATGCATTTGGCAGCTCTGATTTTAACACAAAACAAAACAGAGATTTAGTAGATTTCCTCTGGCTTTATTTTCATCTGTACAGAAGTATGCATTGAAAGTGTCAACAGGTGTAAACACATGTGAACCCCATTTCCACTCAGAAACCTACCACCCATTAAAACAGATCAACAGCAGCCACCAGGCTTGATATTCACTCAAAGGTAAAATGATGAGTACTTACATGTAGGGACTGTATATTTATATCAACATTACAGAAAAAAAAAGTTATTTAACCACAGGAAGAGCTGTGAAAAATACCCTTTTTAAGTCAGCTTGCAAAAATGAATCAAACAAAAAAAAGTGCAAAACATAAAAAAATGAGTTCACATGTTAAGTTCTGTAACGAGATATATACTAAGCCCTTACTTGAACATAGTGTGTGGATTTTTTATCTCTCAGCACTCCACGACCAGCTTGTTGTTTTCAAGACTTCAAAGAAAAATTCAAGTATTCAATCACAGTCATGTGATTATTCTAAATTTGTTGAACAAAATAAGACAAACAGCAGCTGGTCATGAAAAGCCAATGAATTCCCCCAAAATTCAACAGAATTAAGATTACTGTTCTCTCCTTTTTCTGAGACTGTGGGATGTGAGAAAAATTACACCATCAGAAGAAGAAATGGTTAAGCAAATCAGCTTTGAATTTATCTTACAGGAAAAAGCAGATTTGTCCACGAGAAGTGAACGTTTACCAAAATTTCAGCGTTTCTGACCTGTGTTTCAAAAGGTCTGACAATAAACTTTTATTAATATAGTACAAAATAAACGATAAAAGGTTTGTATTTTTAACTCACGTGGTCTACATATGAGCATGTAGACTGATTGCTCTCACAATCATACACACACACACACACACACACACACACTCACACAGAATAAGAGTAAACCCTGAAAAAAGCACTCTCCACCTCCACTCTCTACTTGCTGGGCTTTCCTCTGTCACTGTCCTCGCTGTCTTGTCTGCTGTCATGGGAGTCACGGTAGCCTCTGTTTTCTCGCCTCTCTCTGCACTCCCGGCATTCATCCTCATCCTCTCCCTCCTCCTCGTCATGGATGATCTCGACCTCCAAGCGGCCGATATAGAGAGATACCGCACAGAGCCAGAAGAGGGCGACGCTGCCCACTGCTGCGCTCTGGAGAAGCAGAGCCGGCACAGACAGCAGCATCATCCTCCGCAGGGCAAAGAGGCTGCCGATGTATGTGGCGCCGCCAAATGACACGCACACACCTCCCAGGATGAAGAAGGCTGAAGAAACACAGATTGACATGATCTTATTTTGGAAGTCCACCTTACTGTATTTCAATCTGAAATGAAAGTACTTCTGAAATAAAAAGATGAAGCTGAATCTTGCATCTGCAAAACTAGTAAATTAGTTTCAAAGAAAAGCAACTATTCAGTCAAGCACCTCTAATCGATCTCCAAGAGGTGTTTTATGTAAGAAAAAGCTTAATTTGCTTTAATTCTAAATATTAATGTGAACAGCATAACTCAATAATGCAACACGGCCGCTCAGTTTGATTTCAAACTCAAAGATGTGATTAAAAATGTATCGCCTGAAGCCAGTATTTCAGGTAACCATGATTTTAGTTCTGACTCACAGATCTTGGCTTTTGTCCGCTCATGATGATTTCAGTCTGCAGCAGAAGTCCTTGAGCAATTATTCATTTCATAAAATCTATTGCAGGGCTTAGCACAAAGAGAGCTTGAGTAAAGTTTGAGTAGGTTTTGGTCGTTTCATGGACATTCCTTTATTTTAAAAATGATTTCTCTATAATGTGCCGGTTTTAAGGAATCAAGGACAACAACCAACTTCACTACTGATGGACTCTGGTTTGGTAAATTACTTCCATAGAGCTCAGTCTGATTTGTAGTGCAGATGCAGGCAAAACAGTGTCAGGTCTTTACCATAACCGGCTTCTCTTCCAACTTCACTCTGGACAAACGCAATCACCCCGATCCCGGTCGCCAGCAGACCGTTCCTGAACCACGAGAGGAAACCTGCAAAACAGTCAGAGGTGGAAATGAACAGCCTGGATGAAGGTCTGTGCAGAGAGTCAGGATCAGACATGCTGTTGACATGCATAAGAGAAAAGTTCCATGTGATGGTACTGGAGGTGTATCTTGAAATCTTTCCCCCAGAATCATCCCTTCTTTTGAGGGAGTAGTCGATTCAGAGAAGTGCACTAATCTCAAATGAATAATCAACATGATCTTCAATTTGTCGACCTTGCTGCAGTGCTTAAAGGGATATCCTGGCGTAAAATTAATTTAGTATCAAACATACTGTAATACGGAGTTAGAAACCCCCTCAAGAGATGAATGTTACTAACCGCTTGCTTCTCTAGTTATACCAACTTTAGTAATGACCACAGATAGCAATACAGAGAGCCATGCGCTCAACCAAATGTCACTCTATAGCCACAAATAATGCTCAGAACAGCACCTAACTTCATCAACAGTACATATAGGATCCTGGCCATAGTACTAGCCACCAAACATTTACTTAACTTTGCCTAATTTCTTTAGCAAAGAGACTAAACACAACTCACCTGCTCTCTTCCAGCAACCGCTTGTTAGAGGGAGACCTCCAGGCGAGTCCATCGACTGCAGCGGGGTGACGCAGCTCAAGGAAGAACATTTATGATACAATCATACCGAGACGCTAAGGCAGAAGAACTACAGCATCTGCAGTGCAAAATGATGATTTTTACTTCAAGGAAATGATAAAGAAATAATCATGAATGTTCTTCCTTGAGCTGCGGACCTGGACCCACCTGGAGGTCTCCTTCAGACAAGCGCTTGCTGGAAGAGAGTAGGTGAGTTGTGTTTAGTGTCTTTGCTAAAGAAATTAGGCAAAGTTAAGAAAATGTTTGGTGGCTAGTACTATGGCTGGGACCCTATATGTACTGTTGATGAAGTTAGGTGCTGTGCGGAGCATTATTTGTGGCTATAGAGTGGCGTTTTGGTTGAGCACATGGCTCTGTGTATTGCTTTCATGCGGCCATTACTAAAGTTGGTGTAACTAGAGAAGCAAGCGGTCGACAACATTCATCTCTCGAGGGGGTGTCTGATTTGGTTTTACGGTGTGTTTGACCCTAAATTAATTTTATGCCAGAATCTCCCTTTAACTATATCCCCCCTAAAAAATGATGTTGACATTCCAACACAGATTTATTTAACACCTGTCCTTTGGATTCAAGACTGATTTCAAAAGCCAATTAAAAGTGACAAAGCTGTTAAGTAGCTTTCTGGAGTTAAGATCTAAAGTAATGTGACCTCTTTGTTCAGATTAAAAAGGCGTTTTGTCAAGAGAAAATAAAACTTCTCTAGATTATTCAGGTTCAATATAACATCTGTAACATCAACCAAAAGGTTCATTTAATCAGAATGTAAAGACAACGTATTGGTCTAGTTGTGTTACCTGTCTCATGTGATTTTCTCAGCATCTGAAAGAAAAAGAGGAAAGTTATTTGTTGAATGAAGCTCTTATTTAATTTTGTGATAAAGTGTCTGTACTGGTTTTTAACAGAACTAGAACCAAAACCAAAAGTAGCTCTGGGGTGACACAAAAATCTCTCTACTTCTTCAAAATATTTCCAAATTTCCTCTAGGAGTAAACCTACTAAAGCATCCGCCTTGTCGAGGTCTGAAAGCTGGTACTGCTGCTCGGGTACCCGGCCCTTCGCCCACGGTCCCTTCTCCCCGATCCGCAGCCGGGTTGAGCCGTGCAGCTTCCTCCTCAGCGGAGCTCCGGCGCAGGGAGCCCGGACGAGCTTCACAGTCCGGGCGATGAGGCACACGGCCTGCGGTAGCTGCCTCCTCATGAACAGACTCAGAAAAGCCATCACATCCCTGTAGATCCGGCAGCTAAAGCTTCAACACTGTGGTCCAAACACAACACGACCTGCGCCCGCACTTTGACCTATCACCTTGGCAACGACAACCCGGAAGAGCCTCGTGAAAAGGGAAGTAGCGCGATAACAGCGCCACCCCAAGACAGCGGGAAAAACACCCCGATATGTAAAATTAGCGTTATTAAATAATTTTTGTTCACAGTGTAATTTCTTTTGACATTGACATTTATTCTATTTAGTTGTGCATTTGCGTCCGTCGATGTTGTCACTCTAATTTAACTTAAAAAATGTAATTCGAACCTTTCTTCACAAGATGGCGCCAGAGTACTGGACTGAAGCAAAGACATGTTATTTCGGCTAATGATGCTTTCTGCTGTTTTTAAAACGTACATTACATACACTAGCTAATTAAATTTAGGCTACATTATGTTGAAAATGAAATGAAAAACATATGCAAATGAGGGATTAAACGGGCTGTATCTAAAATAATGCCAAACAAAACCTACAGAGAAGACAAATGTAATACAAAACCCAATTCCAATGAAGTTGGGAAGATGTGTAAATCATAAATATCAAATCCTTTTCAACTCATATTCAATTGAATATACTACAAAGACAACATATTTAATGTTCAAACTGATATTTTTTATTGTTTTTTTTGCAAATAATCATGAACTTTAGAATTTGATGGCAGCAACACGTGACAAAGAAGTTGGGATAGGTGGCAAAAAATACTGAGAAATTTGAGGAATCCCACAGGTTAGCAGGCTAATTGGGAACAGGTGGGTACCATGATTGGGTATAAAAGCAGCTTCCCCAAAAATTCAAGTCATCCACAAGCAAGGGTGGGGTGAGGTTCACCACTTTGTGAACAACTGCATAAGCAAATAGTCAAACAGTTTAAGAATCGGAGAGTCAGAGAATCTGGAGAGTCGGAGAATCTGGAGAAATCACTGCACGTAAGCGGCATGGCCGGAAACCAACATTGAATACCCGTGACCTTCGATCCCTCAGGCGCCACTGTATCAAAAACCGACATCAATGTGTCAAGGATATCACCACATGGGCTCAAGAACACAACTAGTCTCCTCAGTTCCCAAACGTTTATTGAGTGTTGTTAAAAGGAAAGGTGATGTAGCACAGTGGTTATCATGCCCCTGTCCCAACTACTTTGGCATGTGTTGCAGCCATGAGATTCTGAGTGAATTATTATTTGGGAAAAAAAAAAAAAAAAAAGGTTATGAGTTTGAACATTAAATATCTTGACTTTGTAGTGTATTCGATGGAATATAGGTTGAAAATTATTTGCAAATCATTCTTTTCTGTTTGTATTAACGTTTATCACAATTTCCCAGCTTCAATGGAATTGGGTTTTGTCGATGAAAGCTATTCCTCTAATCTTTTAGATTCAAGGAGCACTGAAACCCTAAGAATGTAAAACCTACAGGCATCATAATGTACTGATTTTAATGATGCAGTGCTCCTGGATCTTGAAATGTCACTTGTTTCTGAGTTTTCTCAACTTTTTAGACAATTAAAAAACATGAAAAAAGAGCAAAATGCAGATGGTTCTCTCTTAGCAGGTACAGCAATTGCTGTGGAATTTATCCACAAACAAAATATAAAAAGCAGACTTGGTATCTTTGACCTAGATGTAACAATATTCAGTTTCGATCACTAACAAATGCTTGGTTATCAAGTTCTGGAGTGCTTCAGCTGTGGATGCAAAACCACATCTGCAGAATATCCCTGTCATGACTTTGTTGCAAAATTGGAAAAGATAATAAATAAGTCAAGAAGAAAGTAAATAAACTTCATTCATATCCTGCCTTTCACAGGCTTCAGTTTGTTTATTTAAAAAGTCAGTCTCTCAATTTTTTCACAGATACAGAGTTACTGTTTATATATTATCACAGGTTTCTACATTTTTAACCCATAAATAAACATCATAATGTTGATTTATTCTCATTAGTCTCACCATTTGTGCAATTGTTACAAAGTTAATATTAATCATATAACTTTTTGACTCTTTCTGCTTCAATCATTCTGATTCTAGGCCTTAGTATTTACTTCAGCTGTGTTACTATAAGTGCCGCTGAATGTTACACTCATGATATCGCCTGACAAAATCAAAGGGGGTCTGATCTGACAAGCTGACACTCGCTCTTTGTTTAAACACATTGTTCAACCTTACTTTACTCACCCTATTTTGTAGTAATGTGTTGCTCACAAAGTTTTATTTCAAAAGAATGTGAATAAATGAGGCACATAAGGAGTAAAGCCTGCATCAGACAGATGTAGATGTAACAGTGTTAAATCCCTTGCAGATATGTCAAATCGACACTGTATTCTGATACAGTAAAGCCATGTGTGAACCTGTGTGTGTTTGTGAGGTAGAGATGTGCGTCTTCAATGAGGATGAGCGGACGGCCTCTTCCTGAGGTTCTTTTGTCTTTTAAAACCCGCTGGGACTAGGAGAGAAACCACGCCTGTCATACCTGATTGTTTGGTGTGAGCAGCATGAAGACTTGTGTGTGGGGGGGGGCTTGTGTGTGTGTGTTGAGAGTGGTGTCTTTTACAAACAGCCAAATCTTTGATGTGATGCTCAGCCGACCCTCTTATCGCTCTCACGCTACTCTCCTCAAAACAATGGGAGGCTCATGTTTGTATACACACATACTTACACTCACACATATTTGCATGTAGAGATCATCTATAACAGCAAATATGTTCTCTTAAAAGACAGATATTTCTACAAAGACTAACCTTGTTTTTTTCTACATGTACAAAAGTCTTAATTTTTGTGTGGGAAAGTTGACAAAGTCTGTTTTAAGTGTTTCATTTTGAAAGATTCAGAGGATTTATGTTGTTATTGCATAGAAAGGATGACTGTGATACCAGGTGTGGTCTGAGCTTCCCAGAATGTCATCTCTGACAAACTATATTTCCTGTGTTTGTATGTGTATGTGTGTGTGTGTGTGTGGGTGGGTGTGTAGGTATACGTGTCTCTGTAAAGGGAGGCGGAGAGTGCTAACTATGAACATGTGTCCTTAAGAGTCTTTCAAACAATGTGTTGATCAAGAAACACAAGCTTGTTGTTCTGCATTCTCAGGCGCTCATGGGAGTGAATTTACATGAATCTGGAAAGTCCAAAGATCAGAACTGTTTAACATAAAATTTAGGAGGGGTTTCCCCGATACACAGGGAAGTGCACTGGTTTTACAGTACCCATATAACCAAGATAATTCCCACAACAGACAGAGTTGTCTGATATTTCAATAATGACCTTGTAGTGACAAAGGTTAGGGTGACACAGCGATTTAAGTGACTTCCTGGTTTTGGAAACATGCATCATCTCCGGATCTGAAAATCTAGATAGACTCTTAGACTCTCAGAAATAGCATCATATGAACAACAATGCTAAAGGAGAGCTCTTCAAAGTTCCTGTTAGGAGTTTTAAACTTTTTACAAAAGAAACTTAAAACTACCATTAGGAACTTTTAATTTGTGTCTGTTTTAGCGCCCCCTGTGGACAAGACAGTCTTTGCTTATGACAAAAAAATCTTATCCTGCTGACTTAAGACAGTCAACCATATCATCATTTGTGAAGGGACCACATGCACTGACGCCTTAATCACTTGGTGAACAAATCACGCGTTGAACTACACTCTCTGGAATCATTTTTGTCAGACAGAACTACCTATCTTTTTTAATTGCTGAATTGCCACCACCACGACTTGCGTACAATAGGACACAGCATGTAACAAGTAGTGCGTTAAACCTGCAGCATCCTATCATTGCAGCAATTTGCGAGGGAATGGTCGGAGTCGCAGGCTTCTGCCACTGAATAATTCTGTGATTTTAGTGAACAAATCTTTTGAACGAATCCTTTTACTGTACTGATTCTAGTGATTCAGTACATCTAAAAGAACTGCCGTGCCCATCACTACCCCCTCACACCAGTTTCAGGCATAAATATTAGAATATAAAAATCTTAAGTCTTGGCACTGATGGTCTTGCTTGCCTGTGGTTATCATTTCAGTTTATTTATAAACATAAAAAACTCATACAGGAGCTTTAAATGATGCCTTAATATGACCTTCAAAAGGAAACTGGCCCACTAACATTAAGACCACAGGACAGCTGATGGAGCAGGAAATGGAGAGGGGGCAGATAAGTGAGAAAGATGTCATGGGCTGGAATTGAACCCTGGTTTTCACCTTGAGGCACAACCTCTGTATACAGTTTTGTCATTGAAATGTTGTCCCATTTTTGCCTGATAAAGCATTTCTGTTCGATAGCTCTGAGTAGTCTTTGTTAGATCTTTTTCTTTAATGATGCACCAAATGTTTTCAAACCATCCAAGTCTGTTTTAACATTTAACCCTCTTTCCTAATGCTGGAAAAGTAAGTGTAAATCGCACAATAAACATTACGAGTTTCTATACTGTTTTAGAGGTGTACTGGTGCAACCCTCCTCCAGACAGAAAATTCCTCTATATCTCTGTGAGCTATTTTAAGGAAGGCTAGCTGCACAGTTGATCCTCATATTCCCCTGCCTCACTTACTCTTTCACTCTCCGTCCTCACTCACTTTCTTCTCCCTTTCAGCACATTTCTGCAGTTTTATTCCACAAAGCCTCTTCCTATTTCCTAATCATACACATGTTGCAGTGCTTTTATATCCTGGACTGATGTTCTTTCCAAGAAAAGTGGAGGATAGTGATAGAGCTCCAGAATGAAAGGACTTTGCAGAGATTTTACTGTTGAATTCCTCCTCTGACTCTTTCACATCCCCCTTACTTGTCTTCCTATTTGAATTTACGGGTATATCTCCTTACAAGTTCCACATTTCTTCAGTTTTGCTTTTGCACAGTTGCTTTCTCCATCTATAGTGTCTTGAGTGCTGAAGTCTAGTTTTATATGAGTCATCCGACTGACGCGTTAATCCTACACATTAAATGCACAGAACTACAAACATTGCTACTTAGCAACCAGAACATAAGCTGAATTCGTCAGCCTGAGGCAACAAAAACATATGAAAATTTTAGGCTTAAGAGCTGGGAACATATCACAGACACACATCCAGAGAAAAGCTGATCATTTTTTAAATCATATCAGCCCTGTTAAGACATGAGTCACCCGAGCTTAAGAGGCAATAATAGGCAAATCCACCAATAGGCCTCTACCGTCTGTTAACTCTTTTTCGTCCTCTCTGCTTGATTCCTGTGGTGTCAACAGAAAAGAGGAAAGAGAGAGATAGAGAGGAGGAGGAGGAGGAGGAGGAGATGTGTATACGTGCGGAGCTGCACTGATCTGTGTTACACAGTCTGGGGGATTCCAGCCAGCTGCGTTGGGAGCGCTGACCTTGGCAGAGAGAACACTGTTTTTCAGTCCCTGGGACAAACAAGTGTTGGATACGAGTGTCAAGTGGTCAGCAGACAAATGATTTATTGACATTAATTAAGGGTGAGCCATTAGAAATCAGTAAGCTGCAGGAAGATGCGTTAAAAACAACCTGGAAACTATTTTGTGCATGCATAAATATACTATATTTTACCAACGCAATGACATCCCGTCAAATTCATTGCATTAACTATGCTTTTCAAGTTATTTTGAGGTGAAACGCCGTATGTGTAAAACTCTACAGGATACAGGATGGGAAGCTGTTGGGGTTATTTCATGTTGCAGGTGTGTGAGTGTGTGTGTTTCCACGTTTGTTTTTTCCTTAAATTATGTTTCTTTATGATTTCCTGGTACATGGAAGTTTATTTTCAGGCCATTTGTTTTTTTCTCACACATTGTTGGAGCCTATAGATCTCACACTAATGGGCTGAACATGTGTGCGCTCTCATGCATGAGTTACATCACCTCTATCTGTATGTATGTCTGCTGGAATCACGTCCATACTAAATTCTAGGTCAGACGTTTAGTTGTGGGCTGTTAAAGCTCTACTATGGGTGATACAGCGGCCTAGTGTTGATTCTCCTCTTCAATCAGAGCCAAACAGTGAATCATCTTTCTTACAGAAATATCTAACCACTCTGGTTACTTGGCAAGCAAGACTTTAAGGGTATGTGTTACTTCCCGTCAGCTTTACTCACCACGCAGGTTCTATGTCTTGAAAATAAACTCATCCCGAGTCAAGCTCAACGCCTTTCCTTATTTCTCCGCCATTTATCAGGGTCAACCTTTGGAGTCACGCTAAACTTCCTGTTCATTTCTATTTTTTTGTTTCAAATTAACCCCTATAAAAAATTGTCACACACCCATTTCAGGATCAATAAAGCACAGAGAACATGCGGCATATCACTGAGGTCCAAGGATGCTATAAAGTAAGTTCTGACGTGCACAAAAGTTGAATTGTTCTGTCATTGCAGCCTTTATTACAGTCACCTGATGTTGTCACGCTGAGACAATTAAGAGAAACTTGATTCTCTGCCAACAGATAACATATTTCCCAGAACAAACTTCCTGTTCACTGCTAGAATACTTGACCCAATTTCTGCGCACATGCAGAAACTAAACATAAATATAGTATTAACTCGCCTTTGTTTACTCTGAGGGATCGTAAAATTTGAAGTGTGCAAAATATACAACCTCAAAATCTTCTGGGCCTTGCTTCAACAGTTTTTAAATATCCTGAAAATGTTTAGAAATATTAGAACTTTGTTATTTGCTTTTTATAGTATTTACTCATATTTAAATCAGTGGATTAATAATCATCCCTGTCGTGCCTGTGTAGAATGATAGAAATGGTTCAGCCACATGGAGCCTGACTCTGTCCAAAGGTGATAAATTCTTCCATTGCGGCATCAGCTCTACAGCTCGCTGATTAACACGTTTATTCTTGTGCAATTCATTTATTCATACACTGCAGTATGGGTTCATGCTGAGGTAATGTGCCTGTGCTGGGTACAGTGACTTCCTTGGGACTCTGCTGGTTGCCTTGTAACCTCAGAACAACAACAAGTCCTCGGCACACACACGAGTCTTATCAAAGCTGAGTATCCAAATCTTGGCAAGAAACAGATTGAAGTATTTCCCCAAAATGTCAAACTGTGTTTCTGCCATCGTACATTACTTTGGTTATTTATTCTCACGTGCACATAGATTCCAGATTCAACATGCTCAATATTTTAGTGACAGTGAACTCAGCAGCTAATTTTGCAACTCATGAACTGGAACATGAGCGTAGTTCACCTTCTGGGAGGATCTGAGAGGTGTCGAGAATTGCCAGGAGTTACCGTCTGTTACTGTTTGTTCAGTGTTTCTTTAACCTTAGCCCTTTTATTTTAGAGGATGTGAAAATCCTTCCTCCCACATCGTCAGTTATGAAGCACATTTTTCCATGTGTTTGGGTTAAAAGTCAGAACCTTTAGTTACATTTTGTTCCAACGTGTTGGTAGTTTCCACGTTTATTTTCTTGGTTTTTGAACAATCTGTGTTTCTAATAAGTAAAATCTGAGAAAAAAAAGTTTAGGAAATGTCATTGATTGAGGATTAGGAATTGACATTCACTAAATGTGAACTAGTTCATTTAAAACAGTGTGAACTGAACTTTGAGTGAGTTCACTTCAAGTGTGAACTTGCACAACACTGTCAATGTTTACCTCTCTTTGTACAAAATGATTAGCTTTGGTTAGATGTATATTTACACAGACACTATACATGTATTCCTAGCATTCGATTAACCAAATCACTACACCTCACATGGCTGTTCTCCAGGTCTGTGAAAAGGCTGCGATGTTGCTGCGTTGAAAGCAACAGATGGATGTGACATGTCAGTGTTGTGTCAATAGTCTCCGTCCCTAATCCCTCAGGGTGAGACACTAATCCAGCACCCTAACCCCAAGCTTGGCCTTCTAACAGCACATTGCCTCACTTCCCCTTGCTACACAAATACTTGGGATCACAGTCATGTAAAATGTAAGCAAAGTTAACAAGCAGACCCTCAGTCTAGTGCTGCGACATCATTGGATGATTTATCAGACTCAGTGATTTTAATTGCTCTTATAAATAGAAGAGCTGACAGCCGCTGTGCTCAAACTTACTAATTTGTAAATCTTGGTTATACAGTAGATTTTACTTCATGAACATCACAGGCATTAAACATCACAATACAGAAAACATGAATCATGTCAGTAAGTGTCTTGTTTGTTTTTGTAGTTCATAAAGAGGCATTTCTGTCAGTGTCATTTCCGGTCAAAAACTCCTCACAGGAGCTCTAAGCTACTCTAAAAAATAACCAAACAAAAGTTTCAGATTTAAAATACAAACAACAGATAAAGCTAACAGTGTGCAGATGCCTCATGTTTGGCCATTGAGCCACTGTTTTACTCATGTAAGGGGATATTTTATTTGGAGTTTGTCCACAGCACACGGTCAGTGTTCTCACACAGGCTGTTGTTACAGCTCTTTTGGATTACTGTGCTTTAAGATTATTGAATTTTTTGTAAAAGATGAATACACACAAAAAATTAAATACTTTGCAATAAGATACATTACTGGAAGAAATGAAACCATCTCTACTATTGTCATAAAGGTGCACATATGCTACAAACAGCAACTGTCCATTGTAAATAAACAGATCTATACGTCATTAACCATTAATATGAGTTAAAGCTTCAATATGGAACTTTTAGTTTGTATCAGTTTTGTTACCTCCTACACACAGATTCGGGTGAGCGGTTTGTGTACACCGCCATCTTGTGTCGGCGCCATTGCTGCGGTGTGCGACGCCATGAAGTTGTCATGCTATCAACAAATAAACGTACGCTAGTAAATAGTGTCTGAGAGCATCTACAGCATGAGTAAAGTCACCTGGTTTGATGATGTCAGACAGTGGACTCCGGTTACTGATGGCGATATCTTGAATTAATACCGATATTAATTTTTGGAATCAACAAGATGAAAAGTATGAAGTATTTCATTGTGAAATACTGAAGTAGGAGGAAATGTGTGTGTAAACACTGGCTAGGCTACATTTATACTGACCCTCACAAGCTAACAGGCAATTAATCATTATGTACAAGCCTACGTGATTAAAAAATAATGTAGGAATTAAATATGTGTTTCGTGGGCTATCAGTGTTATGCCGAGAAATGCATGCCTGCCAAAATCTAAATGCGGGGCGTGGGATCGCTCACAACTAAGAACTGAATGGATGTTACATTAGCTCAGCTCTTAGCAACATAGACAGTCTTCTTTCAGTAACAGCATGTACGTCTCACATATGGACTTTTTCCACAACTGTAGTCTTTTACTGTTGTTGTAACAGCCGATGACGGCACATGTCCTCCCAGACTGTCTTGACATAGTTGTGCAGGGTTGCATGTGTCGCTGCTCGCAGTAATGGCGGCCGTACTACTTCTGGTCATTTCGCCGAATGTATGGACAAAGAAGTTTTTGTTTATCTCATCTTCTACATGTTTAAGTAGTGTCACATCTTTCTGTCTTTTGATAGTTGACTATAATCTTTTGTGATATGCAATATTAGATCAAATAGATATAATAAAACACGGCCTCGGCCTGTTTTACACTAAATTTTTTGACATTTAATTTTTTTTAAGGTGAATTTTTTTACATTTTTTTTACAGTCGAATTTTTACTAAAAAAATATCTTTTGAGAGAGTGATTTTCTTTTTTTACACAGAATTTATTTCATCATTGTAAAAAATAAGTGTCAGAAATAAAAAATGTGTGCTTGAAATTCAATTGTTTCGAAATTCAAAGTCTAATTTTGATGCATAAAAAAAAACATCTTTAGAAATTCAAGATCAGATGGCACAGATTGACTTCCATACTTAAGCTACTACTGTAGTCTGTCGTCTGAAGGTCGGTCATATAGAAAGCGGTCACATGGCCTGCGAGCATGTAAATGACAGGAGGGAGTGGATAGAGAGAGAAAGCGGGCTGTGGGAGGAGAAGGAGCGGGGGGGTGGGGGAGCCAGAGAGAGAGAGAGAGTGGGGGCACTCGCCGACACACACGGAGAAAGAGAGAGCACTTTTTATGGGTGATTGAGGGGACCTCGTGTGGCTTCGAGCATCTCCCCCCTCCGTCCCCCTTGGCTCAGTTTAATGTGTCAAACCGTCGCTCGGTCGCCGTCAGGCCTCGTCAAATTATTTATAACCGAACAGCAAATTTGATGGGACGCGCTCACACGAGCAAGACAATCCCGGAAATAACATGCGTACTCTCAGCCTGTCACGTACGCTCACAGTGGATTTGCATTGCTGTAGGCTGCCGTAGGTAAGCTCTGCCGGTAAACTGTACTCTCCTTGAGGGGCCATTTCATTGACTTTATTTAACGTTTAAGACTATTAACGTTAAATTGTCTCTACCTAATGGGTGTTTCGACCGAATTTGTAAATTGGGGTCGTTTGAGGAGAGAAACGATGGCAGCGCTGCCAAGTTGTTCATCAGTCTAGCTAATAAAGACGAATATAAGCATAATAATTAATGTTTTTTTTAATTTTAATACAATTTTAATGTCATATATGTACAACAAATGTTGTGTTTGTTGACTATGATTCATTTTTATTTTGCAATATATAGTTTTGGGTGCTTTTACTCCTCGGTATTATTGGTTAAAATGTTTAAAATAGATGTTTCTAATGCAAACTAGTACTATTTGTTGCACAACGTAAATACAAAAGGTTATTGCACTTAAGTGGTCTTCACTGCTATTAATAGACCCTAAAGTGTCTCATTTTACTCTCCACAGAAATCCTCCAATATGCTTTTAAGACGGATACAAACTAATAAGCAGTGTAGGAGGATTGAATGAGACTTGAGGGTGAAATTTAATACAGCTGAAAGAAGACTTGGACATGAAACTCCTACAAGCTGTGGCAAGGATCCTCTCTCTCAGAGAAAACAGTGGCTCAGCTAGAAAATGAAGCGAGGACGTGAGCTACGTGCGCATCCAGCACATGACGAGATGAAATGGAGAGCTTGGGACTTACGGACCTTTTAAACCCAAGCTCTGCCCACGGGTCCGTCGCTGTTTCACAATTACAAGAGAGAGTGACGAGCGGGAAACAGCTCGTCCGTGGACCCGTGGACACGTATCACCGAGCGGACATGGGGCTCAACGGCTTCTGCGCGGCGCCGGTTGGAAGTCCAACCGCCGCGGAGTTACTCGCAGGTCTCGCTTCTCAGACGGACTCCCCCGCTATTACAACCCCGACGAAGTTGTCCAAAACCGGACTGCCCCTTTACAACGGAGGGGTGGTGTCCCCGTCTGCCACCGTGGAGGGGAGCCACGCAGGCGTTTTGGCTCAAACACCGAACGGTTACCCGGCTAATATGAAGGGTTTGTCGGGGGTCACAGGTGGCTCTGTGTACCCCCTCTCTAGTAGTAGAGCCTGCCTGGCTGAGAATGGGGACTGGACTACTCATGAGAAGTGCCCTGCGGTAATGAGGAGGGTCAATGGAAACTTGAAAGCCAGAGAAGTGCAACAACAGAAACGAAGAGGTGGGGAGAACAGGGACATGGGGCAGGGGACTGTAAATGGTCTCATTTCAGGGTCAACGGGGTCAGGAAGTTCTGCGGATCTGGGGTTTGCTTCAGGAGAGTCAGATGCTAAGCGGAGAAGAGAGGGAAGTGTCGCTCAGAAGTCTTCAGAGACCTACAGAGTGGCTCGAACTGTGGGCCCTCTAACTACCACAGTCAACTGCAGCAACGGTTCCCAAAGCAACCAGATAACATTTAATCGTGTGCACTGTGGCGCTGCTCAGTCTCCCTTCACCCCAGCTGCCCCCCACACTAACCAGCACAATGGACATGTGGCCTCCTCAGGTCCACCAGCAGCTCCCAGCCAGACCTCTCCTATCGAGGCTAACAGCATCCCTACCCCACCTCCCTCTGCTGAGTCTGGCTTGTCTGCAGAGCGCATAGCACAGCAGTTCATCATCCCCTGTATGAAATATTACGGCATATGCGTGAAGGACAACTTCCTCAGCCCTCAGCTGGGGGACATGGTCCTCGAGGAAGTGGAGGTTTTAAATCGCAGCGGAAAATTTCGGGGCGGGCAGCTGGTGAGCCAGAAGAACATCCCATCTCGGAGCATCAGGGGTGACCAGATTGCCTGGGTGGAGGGACGGGAGCCTGGGTGCGAGAGCATCGGGGCGCTGATGGCCCATATTGATGAGGCCGTCATGTACAGTGCTGCCAATGGACAGCTGGGGGACTATGTCATCAATGGACGCACAAAGGTGAGAGGCAGATGAGGGTGAGGGTGGGTGGGAAACAAATCAGGTTAATGACTGAATAACATGTAGAGTAAGTGGACGGTTGTGTCATGTCTCAGCTGCTCCTGCTTACCAACAGGAAAACACTCACGAACACACGCATACACCACAGAGGAAGGGTGAGCTAAGAGTCAGGTAGGATGTCAGGATGAGCCCTGCTGTGTTTCCTGCACATGTGAGCATGATAAGGGGGGCTGCGGGCTCAGACTCCCCCCTCAAACTTTCCTTATGCCGGGGTTGAGGCGTGCCTAAGTTTGTCCCCGTCCCTGCCTTCATACCACAGATACTCCGAAAGAAAAAAGAAAAGCTCTGTGAGGCTGTATCTCCTCTACCATCACTGTATCTCTTCCTTTGAAGTCTACTTTTCACTGCTTTTTTTGTTTGTTTGTTAAACTTATTTCATGTCTCATTTACCCCACGCCACAAGTTGTCTTTAATTTTGCGCAACTCCTTTGAGCAAATACCAAAGCTCTTTAGATAGCGCTCTTTCAGACTTAACAGCCTGTAACTCTGTAAACTCTACTTCATCATAGTCTCTACAGCTGTCTCAGCGAGCAGACCTTCCTCTGTCCTGCACACGCTGCACAGTGTCCATGGCTGTGTGTAGTACAGATAACCCTCCCACTCCTAATCTCACCCCTCCTGCCTGTGGTGACACAGACCCTGAGTTATCTGAGCCCCATAGTGTCATTGACCCCCTCTGGATGAAGACTGTTTACCCTTGAGTCTATGTGTACTTTCTCAGATATCTACTTAAGTTTTCCCTTGTATCATTGAAAACTGGTGCCATTCGTCAAACCAAAAAAAAAAAAGTCACATATTCCTATCTTGATATTCAGTCTTTTCAATCCAGCAGTGTAAGTACATTGCATTGTGTAACTATCATTGTGCGTGTCCTTATCACTTGGGAGTTAATCATTGCGTGCCAGTCTAGACTTCGCCAATACAGCAGGCACATGTTCAGAAAGCCCACGTCGAATCGCTTTTATGTGGAAAGTAACTGAAGGATGGCGTTATAGGAATCCATCAATGATGTGCTCTGAAGTAGACGCAGCATTAACTGCTCCCCACGGGGAAATTAGGGAGATGGTGTTATGTGCTGTCTGGCAACTCAAGGTTAATTTCTGCAGTCTCAACTTAATCCAAAGAGCTGTACATGACATTTTTTAGTTATTTTTTATGCATGCATACAGCGTTTTACTTTTCGCTTTATTATAAATTGTTAAAGTTTCACTAGAATCATATAAGCAGCCATCTGTGGCATTCCTCCAAAAGTGAAATATCCCTGTCCTTCAGTATTGCAGCTCTTCAGCTCTGTCCATACAGCACCATATTTTGCAGCCCTCTTCCTTTACACAGCCACTTCTTAGGCAAATCTCACATTGCTCTTTTTAGTGCAGTCTGACTGTGCTACTTTCAGGTTAAGTCATGCCCGCTCAGTGCCAAAATGACACTGAAAAACAGGAAAGTGAAATGACTGCAATGGAAGAGTTGAACCGACTTGTCTGCGTGACAGGTTCCTACTCCGTCTGCAGTTTTCACTATGAAATATTCAAAACTTCTGCCCACTGCAACGTCTGAAGAAACCCTTCTAATATCTCTTTGAGCTGCAGCTTCCTGTCTCATTAGTGTTGGTTTTAATCTGTAGAACTAACATAACACTAAAGCCGTCACCTAGAATCATCCTGTTCAAGGAAATTACAAACAAGATGCTGTTCTACTTCCTGAATTCGCACTTATGTGAGGTTAGAAAGCAGGTGAAAGAAGGGGTTCAGTCAGGGGTTGCTAGATTTGTATCTGTTGAGGCACTTTTTTGTAAGATGGTGCCGTTTTCTATCGTTTTTTTTTTTTTGTCATGAAGACATTATTTTGTTTTGAATGATAATATTTGATTTTATTGTATGATTTTCCAGTATTAGTGCCTTAGTAGTGTGGACTGTTCTTACAACACAAAAATGTCCCAGCAGGGTGTTCCTGAGGTTAGGATGGAGTTTGCACGAAAAGGAAGGGAAGTGATAGGAAAAGTAAAGAGGAGGAGCATTTTGTCCAAATAGAAGGTCACTGCGGCTCTTCCGTCCTCTTTTGTGTGGCGACATTTCTCCTCCAAACCTTATTTTTTCTACTCGTTCCTTCCTTATTTCTCCATCTATCTTTTGTTTTTATTCTGACCTCCTTTTCCTCTCCCCTGTCCTTTACGTCACCCTGTCTCTCCTTCATCTTATCAACCCCCTTGCTAAGTAATCAGACAAAATATTTCCTTGGCGTTACCTTGGTAACAGGCCAATACAGAGCAGGGCTCTGTGTTTTGTATGAAAGAGATGCAGGGACTGGCAGTGCTTGAAATAATATCTGTGTACCCTGACTCAGTTAGTCAGCAGGAGTCCGGTTCTGTTGCCTGTGAGACGTACGATAGGTAGAAAGGATTACAGTGTTAACAATGGAAAGATAATTCAGCAAATGCAGCGAGGTTTATGGCAGGGGGGTCGTGTTTTTCAGGAGGGAGACACGTGAGGGAAAAAAAGAAAGAGCGTTAGAGAAAGTGCAAGGAGCGGGAGGATGAAGGGTGAGATGGGGGTGATGCAGCAGCAGCATCGGTGTGATGGGTCTGCTGCAGCAACGTGTCCTCAGATGCCCCTCCTCGAGCTCAGCAGTGCCATCATGCAGGCAGGAGCGAGACGTCATCTGCTCACACGCACAGTGCAGCTGCAGGGCTAACAGCTAGCTTGTTTGCAGAGATGGATGGAGGATGGAGAAAAAGACAGACTGGAGTAGAGAGTGTTGGAGCTGCACATAGGATTTCTCTGTGCTAAATTCTCTGCTGTAAAGGATTTAATGACATCACTTCTGCTGCAGTGTTGCACCTGTTAGTTTTAATGCACCAGCATACGTACTGTGCATAGATGAAGTTGCAGAGCTTATAGCCTTGTATGTTGATTTGACCAAGATGTAAGGTCTTTGTTGTGTTGCATTATGAAACAATGGGGAGATGAGTCATATTTGTGTTTTTCAAATGTAGATGCATTAGAGTTAAAACAACCATTTTATACACAAACTGATCAGTTATCAGCAGCTTCTTTGTCATCTGGAGAATATTTTGGTGTTCTTCTATGTGAAAAAGTGAACACAAATAAGGGAACTGTGGACCATTTTAGCTTAAAGCAGCTTCAAGCAGTAATTGTTGTGGTTGTTTGTCAGTTTCATCTCGTCGTGGATGGACTCTCTTCTGAGAGTAAATATCATTTACTCTTGGGGGAATTGCAATTGTCAGTTTCCCTTTTTTCCATTTTTTTAGACCGAACAACTGTTTGATAAATTGAGAATAATTTGAAAAAATAGATGAGAAAAGCAAAGAGCTGCAGATCTGAGATGCAACTCCAACTCCCACATACTGAAAGTAGGTTAGAGAAAAATCGTCTGTATTACCTTCCAATTGTTTTGATTTAGTTTTGTTTTTCTGTATTTTGTTGTTATGATTAAAAACAGCACATCCACCACATGATGCATTCATGACTTAGCATTCTGTTTAAAATCATGCACTGACAATCACGGACAGTCCCTGCTTTCTTCATGCTAACATCCAGCGGTGACTCACACCAACACAATAAGCATAGTTGAAGCCAAAACAGGGCTGTCTTGACTCATAAACTCCGTGCTTATTTTCTTACAATTTTGTGTTCAGAAAGAAACAACATGATGTAAATCGAGAGTAACACTTGAATATTTGATCATGTTTTCACTTCTCTGGAAAGTGATAGCAGCGCCCTCTACAAATATAACAACCACCATAAAAAAACGCAAACAAGGCAGTGCACCATGACTGTTGAACCATTTCCACTCTATCCAAGAAGCTGATACATAGGGATGAATCGAGCTGGATACTGGACCTGAGCAACAAAGCAGTTCATCATAAGTCTATTGAGTTCCCCCTCCGATAACTTCGACTCTTTTCCCTTTTTTCAAATCCAATCTGGAGGCAGCTCTGAATACCAGCTGATCATGATTTATGTCATGCCCTGTGTCCCGAGCTGCGAATGAGTAACCAGCTGTGGAAATGGAGTGAAATGGCCATGCCGCTGTGACTCAATGTGTAACAGCCCCAGAGTTGGTAAACATCTGTGGTGCTGAAGAGTCCACCCCTTGTGTCATCCTCAGTGACTCACAGCCCTAAATGTGTGATTCTGATAATAAACAATGGCAAGAAGGAAGGGACATTTTTGGCCTGTTTTAGCACTTCCATATGTTGGCATGAACAGGATGTTTTGTTTTAACATTTCAGTTGTTTTTAAGTTAAAGAAGCAGAAAGCTGCAGAGGCACAGAGGTTACAAGTTGTAATCAAGAGTGGTCGCGTCCTCATAAAGCCTTTACACCCGCTTGCACTCTGATGTTCTTGCTGATCATGCAGACAAAGTTAATTAAAGTCGGTTTGGGTTCAGTGCCAAATGTCTTTCTCTCCTCTCTCACTTTCTTTTTTTTTCTTTCCCTCTGTCTTTCCCCCTGGCTCTACTTTATATTAAATACAAACAACACCAACTTGTTCCAAAAGGGAAAAAAATAGGCAGCTATGTAGGCGGTAAATTAGACGCAAACAGACACCCTTTGATTTAAGGTTTGGTGGTTTTAATTTAAAGTATGTTGTGTTTGTTGATTCTCTAAACGTCTATATATCAGCCTTTTAGATAGTACAAGCTTAGTTAGCTCACTGAAACAAGTTCCTAAATTGCTGTAAAACTGTCAGTGCTTTGTCAATCTTAGCTCAGTCCTCCTAGGCAACCTACAGCATACAGCGTGTTATCTTCAGCCTACATCACCTTCCTACACGACATTTTTACACCACGCCTTCCTCTAGGCACATATATTTTTATTACCTACTTTTTGTCATGTTTGTCCCCTCACCCTCTCTGCTTCAAAAGCAATAATGGCGGTATTTGCCCATGCTTATCTAGCCCCCACCCCGTCCACCTTCACTCTCTCCACCATCATTCCTCTTATCAGAATATACGTGCAGGATTGGAGTTTATTTTTGCTCTTGTCCAGAACAGCCTGTTCTCCGCTCTGTTCTCCTGTCACCTTTGCATCACAGGTATCTTCGCTGTGCTGTTAATGAGGGTACAGGAGGTGGGTGCCGATGAGACCCCAGAGTGTTATTACGGGTGAGGAGGGCAGAAATGACAGATAGGATCGAGGCGTGCTGTGTCACGCTGTGTGACTGAATGTTTGTACAGAAGCGACAGACTGGAGAAAACTCCTGTGTGTGTGTGTGTGTAGAGCATGTTTGACGTGTGATCATTTTTTTCAATACCTGGTGTTAGCTTAGACTCAAAATGACAACAAATAATTATATACTTGTCTTGTTAAAGCTTTGGTGGAGACATTTTGGTTGTATTTTTATGCTGCGGGCCTGGGCTGAGCTGTCCGCTGTGACGTGTTACATGTTAATTGTGGTTAATTACATTTGTCAAGACTGTGACCAGTTTAAAAAGAGTGTTTGCTGGAAAAGTAGCCGCCCTTGAATACATACACCAACCAAAATAAACACTCAACCTTTTTATGAATAGAGAAAAAGAAACAATGCTTGACATGGTTTCATCGAACAGGTCAGGTAAGCCCGATGACCCCGTCATTGTCTAAACAGATCAGTCACAACAAATTGCCTCCAAATCGCCTTTGAATTACATTCATGTTTCTAATGATTTTTATATTCATACACAATTTTTCCCTTTTTTTCGGTCACATTCATTTTGACACAGCAGGTCTGTTTGTCGCTTGAAGCCCAGAGCAAAAGGTCTGGAGGTTAATGAGCTCTGACTGCGAACGTTGGTCAGTAATGAGAGCTGACAATGACAGCTTAACAGAGTCACACGCACAGTCGACCGGCTCAGTGGGCTGTGAGCGCGCAGAGGAACACGATAAGACATGGAGGAGGAGGGAAACTCGTGTTCGGACAGAATCCCCGGCCAACAAAAATCTATCAACACATTTGAGTTTCACAAACAGCACAAAGAAGAGTGTTTGTCTTAGAAATTTATGAAAGCGTTGTTGATTTCCTCTGGGTTAGGACTCTCGCACCAAAGCATGTCCTGAGACGGGCTTAAAAGATAGTGTCAGGAAAGTTAAATCGATATTGCGGCGATGCAGAACCTGTTAGTCATAAAAGATAGTGTCCCAGAGCCAAAATGAAAAGATGCAGTGAGGTTTTCTTCTGTTTTAGAGCAACATAAGTCAAGACAGCGACAGTATCTTTCTTTGTAGTCGGACTTGAAAGATAGCAGAGTGGTTATTCATCAGCAAGCTGGCAGCTAACATCACCTAGCATCCCTATCTTCAGGGATGTGGACTGCTGTCAGTCTGTTTGTGAATCAGCCAAAATAATGTTTCCTGCAGGTTTCAGGGACAGATTGAAAAACTGTCCTCAGATCAGAGCATGTCCCTGTGCCTCATACTGATATGTCATGGTGACACTCATGCAGCTGATTCTCTTCCTGATACACTACATTTGCAGTCACGGGGCCCTGCTGCAGCCCAGGTCTGGAATGTGTGTTAAGTGAAGAGCTCTTACGCAGGTCTCAGTTCCCCTGGGAGTCCCCAGAGAAAGCAGGGCTCTCCTGCTTCTCAGCCTTACAAGCAAGTACTTTGAGCAGGGGAAATACCAGCATGACGGTCTATTGTTTGAACCTGGATACTCCATCTGTAGGTCACTATAAAGCAGGGAACAACAATTGAACTCTAGCACATTTCCCCGCTCTATCGTTTGACTGTTGGTCTCACGAGTGACTAAAATAACCACCAGTGAGTGCGTATTGATCACTTTACGCTCCGCCCTCGGATGACTTTATGATCATGCCTCAGATTACGCAGAACAGCCAGCCAACCTTAAATGTAAAAAAAAATAATTACAGTAATTAAAATACTTTACTTGTGACAACACTACTAGGGATGGGAATCAAGAACCGGTTCTTGTTGAGAACCGGTTTCAAATGGTTCAATCCATCAACATCATTAACATTGTATCTTAATGATTCCCTTAATGATTCCTTTCTTCTGGATTCCTTGAAAAACGGTGTCATGAGTGCCAGTCCACGCGAACGAGAACAGAGACTTTAAGGCAAAAAACATGGCGGACGGTACGAAAAGTAGGCAGAAACGATCTAAAGCGTGGCTCCAAATTTTGTGCGCGACTCCGCCCCGCGTAGTAGTGCCCAGAATATGGTCACTCTAATTTGACTTCATACCTACCGAAGTAAATGTTGTACAAATAGTTTGTTCTCATCTCGCTGTTATTTTGAGTTAATGGTGAAAACCTATCGTCTACTTTTTTTTTAAATCAAAGAAAGGCATTGATAAGGGAATCATTAAAGAATTGAATCGATAAGCAGAATCAATAATGGCATCGATATCAATGAAGTCTTAAACATTACAAAAAGTGTGATTTTACAGTGTTTAACACAATGCAAACTAACCATGCTGCTTCCTCTGTTGTTAGGCTATGGTCGCCTGCTACCCGGGGAATGGGGCAGGGTATGTCCGCCATGTTGACAACCCTAACGGTGATGGACGCTGCATTACCTGCATCTACTATCTTAACAAGAATTGGGACGTCAAGGTAGGTGTACAAGTTTGAGTGTTACATCACTTTTAAGCATGAAGTATAGATTAAGTTTTTAATATTCATCTGCTGTCAGAATGCTTAAACTCAGTGGCCTCTCAGTTTGACTTTTTAAAAAACTTTTATTCTCTGGATTTATTGTTTTTGTTAAATTTTCCTGTTTTGTTTGCTTTGTAGAAACAAGGAGGGCTGCTGCAGATCTACCCTGAGGGCAAAAATGTGGTAGCCAACATCGAGCCTCTGTTCGACCGGCTGCTCATCTTCTGGTCTGACCGCAGGAACCCACACGAAGTCAAGCCAGCCTACGCCACTCGGTTAGTGATTCTTAAACATGCTGGGGTCCTGAGCGTGTAGTACTCACACAAAAACAACAACAGAGTTTTAATACAGAGACCAGGCACACTGCCAATATTAACATTTCTACATGCAGCATATGTACATAGAGTTAACACCACATCGATTTTACTGCATTTATTTAACAGGCATGTCAGAATAATTTAACAAACTTTGTGTTAAAAACAAATGTGGAATATTAACTTTTAGGTTTTAAAGCACAACTATTCAAAAAGATCAGTTTCATCTTGTTTATTTTAATTTTAATGCACTTCTCAAGTCAAGAACTTTGTTATCTAAGGAGTTTAAGTCGGATAAAAATAAGATTATGAGTCGAAAACTTTCTCTGATTCGCTGATTCACAACCAGACTTTCGTAAATCCTTGCACACATGTAGTTATTTACATGATATAGTAGTTGCTGCAGATAGTTGAGTCCATTGAGGACACACGACACCCTGTCCTCTCGTTCGGTCTCCATCAAACTGCTGGGGGGCGAGGTGGAGCTGGAGGCAGGAAGTATGTGTTTCCTGAGGGGGTCGGTGGGAGGGAGAGGGGAGGAAGGTTCGATTGCAGGACTCGTGCTGGAGAGGCACAGACATGAGAGACAGGAATAAACAACACAGCCCCACAGGAGAGGCTCCAAACGGAGGAGATTAACCCTCTGCTTCCCAAGACAGTCTGCTCTTCACAAAATAAGATCATGTCATATTAACATTTTCGACCAACCAAAACAATAAAATTTCTCCTAGCTTTTTCAAAAACTTCTGAAGAAATTTGCAGGTGTTTCCACATTTAAGTAATGTTGGTGACTTTGTTTCCCCGTGTAAAAGACATTTAATTACTTATTACTGGCTTTTTTCACTTTAACTTCTCACAGACAAGACAAATATCTTTCTCTGAAGTTCCACACATACATAAAATAAATGAGACAGTGGTGTTGGTGTTACTAATAAACCTTTGTCCTTCTTAAATTGCAGCTATGCCATCACAGTCTGGTACTTTGATGCCAAAGAGAGATCTGAAGCTAAAGAGAAGTACAGATTAGGTGAGTGTCTTCAGTAACTTTAATTTCTGTTTCATTTCTTTCTCAAACTGTCTCACCTTTGCTTTTATTTTCACTGCTTATCTCAGCGCGTGACTAACATGCTCTTTTCTCTTGTGTGTGTCCATAGCAACAGGACAGAAAGGTGTTCAAGTGCCTGTCACTCCAAACAGCAGGACTTAAGACGCATCGACTAACTGGAGAGTCTGTGAAAGTATTATGTGCCTTCCTGAAACGCTAATGGACGTCATGATCATAAAGGGAGACACGTCAAACTGTCGGTCCTCACCGCAGCTATATGCTATTTCTGCAGTGTCAGCAGTCACGTCACCAGCTGTGATGTCATGTTTTCCTGCCATGTGATTGGTCTGCTGATGAAGGACATGGCAGATAGAGAGCACAACGAACTGGATTGTGTGGTGAAGGAAGATAAAATTTCACGTCATGGCGGCAAAAGGAGAAGAAGAAAATAAATCTGACGTCTTACTGAATCATGTATGAAGACAACACTGTTAAAAAAACAGACTTTTTCTTTCATTTGGTTGCAGTTTTGCCTGTTTAGTTTTCAGTGGCGTTGTGATATATTAAGAAATTAGTGGTGCACATTGCTCAAGTGTCATTTTCAATTCAAATTCATTGAGCATATGTGATGAAGCGATGGACTAATGTTGGGAATAGGGATGCAAGGGGTAGAAATCAAGGGTGTTACCCCGAAATCAATAAATCACTTAGTTTTTTTTAAGTTGTCTCCTTGTCTCATGTTGTGGACAAGTGTGCGAGTGTAAAAACAGAAGCACAGAAAAGAAAACACATCAATGGACTGATCGTTTATGAAACTGTAAAAAGATGTTCAACGACACGTATTCAGAAAGTCCTGGCTTAAGCACTAAACCAAAACATACCAGAAACACACCTGAAACATGCATGAGGACAAATTACTGTAGATTTAAAACCGCAAAGCACACTTACTACCGTCGCAAAAGTATTTAAGACTTCTTTATACTATCTCGCTAAGAGTCGTAGATCTTGGAAAAAAGAATCACTGAATAATCCAGCATGGATGGTTCTTGCATTTTTATGGTAGTTGCTAACTGTGATTTTCTTTCAAGTGTACCGATGGTAAACAAAGCTTTCTACATATTGGATGAGAAGTGCTCTCTGTGTGATTAACATGCACACAACACACATGAGACAAGAGGCGAGCTGTTCAGTGACAGGGTTCAATAACAGGGTTTGATCAAACCATTTGCTTTTTGTGTTGGAGTGGGTGTTTGTTTATGAGTGTATGCACATCTCAACTTTTAACTGTTTTAAACATGATGCAAACAGGGTGTGTGTAACGTCAACGTGGAAACTGTCAGACTAACCTTCTTCCCAAACACACGCACACACACACACACATACACATACATGCCTGTACACTGATGATAACCATTTACAGTATAAAGCACAGAGATGAGCATACACTGTATGTGACCTGCAGGATCAGACTGCTGCCTGCGTATGTGTGGGATTGAGTGTGTTAATATGTGTACTTGCACATGTAAGTGACAGTTTACACTGTCTCGGAGAGGGTGGTAGATGTTGTCTGGTGTATTTCAGATGGGTTAAAGAGAAGGTTATTTTCAAAAGCACTTTATTGTTTGAAATGCCATGTGTGAATGATGGAAAAATATAACTCGAAATGTAGATTAATGCCTCTATGGTGTGGATAATATGGTCTTTCAAATGCAATAGAAACTAAAACAAGGAGAACAAATGGAAGTTGTTTGCATTTTTTTTCTTTTTTAAAATTCTGTATTATTTGATTAAAACCTGTCTGTTTTCCTACAGATACTGTGTTTGATTTTATTGTAGAATAATCTTAGTTGATGGGCGCAACACAGTTGGATACAACATGTTGGTTATAGCCTTGTTTAGACCTAGCTGCCTGTCATGATAAAAGAGAACAAACTGCAGTGTTGAGATACATTTTCACCATCACAATCATCAGCCTGAGTACGAAATCCATAAAGGATTTTACAGTAGTCTATATCTCAGCAGTGTCATCCTTTTGTTTGGTTTTAGGTCCGACCATCAAGTATGTCGAAGCTTCTGTCTCTGACCACTAGGGGGCAGACATGCGCAGTAGTTAGCTCCAACGTTAATAGAAGGCAGACTGTTTAGAACAATACTAATCTGTAAAAAGACACATGTTAAGAGGTGTAGCTGCAGACCTGGATGCAATATTTTTTTGTGGCATGGTAGGAGAAGGTCCCGCCTCCTTCGCCTCTGATTGGCTGTGTAACGACATCACACGCTCAAGCCAAGCGCGGGTGTCGGCTCTGTACATCGAACAGAACATGATCGCAATTCTGAATCTTCTAACCCTAACCCCAATCCTAACCCGACAGACGATGACATTTCACAGCCATAAGGAATAACCAATCAGAGCCAAGCACTTCTAGCCAATCAGAGGCGAAAGAGGGTGGGACCTCTTTTGTAGGACCATCATCATCATCATGTACATCCAACAGAACGTTATCGCTCATCTGAAGCTCATAACTCTACCCCTAATCCTTATCCTAATTTTAATCCTAGCCCTAACTCTAACCCTAACCCGACGGACGATGACGATTCACAGCCGTAAGGCATAAACCAATCGGAGCTCAGCACTTCTAGCCAATCAGAGGCGAAGGAGGGCGGGACCTTTCCCTATCATCCTACAAAAGTAAAAGTTCGCGACCCGGACATTGTTCCCTGGAAGTCATCCTTTTTTGTCACCTAATGAACATAAGTCCAATAAACTTTCTCCTCAGACACAACACCTAGATCTAAACTCACAGAACTAGCTTCTGTAAAAAGCAACTTAATGGAAAAGAATTGTTGGCAGATTTGATGTTCGTTAAAAAAAGTTTTAAAATGTTTGTTTTCCCTTGATAACAAGAGATGAACTGAATAGATAAGGCCTTGGGGTTTCCATGATGTAGTTTATCTGTAATCATTACCTGATGACTCACACTGTCAGGTAGCACTATAAAACGATAAGGATTTCTGGACCACAAATAAAGAGCCAAGACGTGTTTTATGGATACACACAAATTTGAGGACACACATCAGCACTGGGCTGGCTTACAAAATGGAAAAGTTTGACACGTCTGCCACCCTGACCATTACAGAAAATTACCCTCATGTCAGTACAACCATATCAACACAACACTGTTCAAATAAATGCTCCCTAAAATCCATTGACAAGTACAACAACAGACGCCGACCCTGTTTATCAGTGTGCTTACACAAATCTAGTACGTCCAAACAAACTAATGAAGCGTTGTAAATTCCTTCAATGGAAAATACATGATTTTTTCCTCACTGTCCATTCTTGCATGTTTATCCAGTGAGAAGCCAAACAAATTGAAACGATTTGTAAATATAAACAGTAGAGACACAATGCTCTTTGTGGTTTCTCATTTCCTCCCCTCTTTTTGCACACTCCTAAAGCGTGGCTGAACTCTGTTTGTACACTGTGGTTTTATTCACACATGGGTGTGGACCCCTACTCTGATGGCAGAATATTTACATGTATTTTTCCACAAAGCAGCAGAAGTTTAAAAAGCTGTACGATCAGTTGGCCCATCTTGATTTGCTTTCATCTCTCTCCACCTTGTGGTGTTTTTCCTTTAAAGCAGTTTACGTTTATTGCCTCTTGTAGTGCCACTGATCGCCACCAGAGGTCAGGACAACACATGGAATATTTCACTGCTTAAACTACTATGAGAAATGAATGATGCTCTTTGTTTTTGGCTTTTGCATTTAAAAGCTTGGCTTAGCATTTCTCCTCTTTCTCCTTCACCACTTTTTGCTGGACTGTGCAGATTATATAGGCGAAATTCATACGTACACAATAACTAACACACATGACCACATTGAAAGGGGCAGACAGAATGGGAGGTGTCAGGTGCTGTCAAACCTCGTGCACTTGTGAATAATAGACCTGTTATGATCATGCTATGCTGTGCCTGTGTTTAAACACTGACCATTGTTTCAGCACATGTAACCCACCTGCTAGTCTTGTAGTTGTTTTTAAATACCTGTCTCTCCTCAGATTCCAGGTTTTGAGCAGATGGGATCAACAGTGAGGAGTTATGAGAGTGAGCCTTTTATGAGGGATGATTTATTTCTGTTTCCAAACATCGTTAGTCAGTTTCAGTTCCATGTCCTCTTTACAGTGCCGCACTTTTTTGCATTTTTTTTTGAGTTCGCCTGGCTTGGAAACAAGCTCGATTTGACAACAGTTTGACATTGGCGTGTGCAGATCCAGCTGAGGCAGTGCAGAGTTATGTGGTTGATTTGGTGTGGAGGTGTTGATGGTGCAAACCAAACAAAAATAGATGCAGGGTGTTTGTCAGAAACAGGAGCAAGCGCATTGGCACGCTTTACATAACCTTTAGGTCAAGGTGATGACCCTCCATACTGTCTGCCAATGTTTACAAAGAAGTCAAGGACATTAAGGCAATATCAAAATGTCCTTTACACCTATCTGCATTCTGCTTGAATCAAGTAACAAAGTACATGAAACTTTTGACCACCCACCCAGCTATATATATGCAATATTGTGAGTATCAAGAAGCATTTGCTAATTCTTATTATGAAGAGTTACCATATGAATTAAAATCCATTTCCCTTTTGTTTGCTACATTACAGAAAATAAAGGAGCTCAGGTATGATGAATCTGAGCCTATGATCAACCTCCCAACTCAAGTTTTGTACAGTTTTTGGAATCAACCCTTATTAGTTGCAGTTGTACAAAACAAAAACTTCCTAAATACTCTCCCAAGAAAAACTTTAGGATACTTTACCAAGTATTCACATAATTGATGGATTAGGAGATTGAGTGCCAAACCAGAGTTGCTGTTGAAAGATTCCCCTGCAGACTACTTTTTCCAGATACGCCAAACACCAGGAAATCTGGCAGTAGCTGAGCTAAAGAGAATTTAAAAAAAACATACAGCATACCAAAGCAGAGGCTGTAACACTCAACCAAAACTGCTTGGTCACGCCTACACAGTTGAAATACCAAATAGGTAACTTCCTCATTGTAGTTTGAGTAATAACACATTAGACATCCGGCCCAGCTCACACAACTACTTCTAGAACTTGAGTCCAGCTGGTCTGTTTCTGAACAACACTTAAACATTTTCCTGTTTTTTTATTTTCTGAACTATTTCTCCATCCCTGGGGTGGTGATGGAAAAAGCCTCATAGATGTTGTAGTCTGTATCAGCTCTCTATGAATACCTGTTGCTAGATAACTCGGTCAGAATTAACTGTTGTAATTATTTCGTTTCTCAGCCTGTAAAAGGATAAGATTTCATTGTGTATTTGCATCATGAAGTGGATTATACCCCACAGGATTCAGTGTATTTGACACCCTTCCTTCAACATCGAGCAGAATTGCATCATATGGATGAAGTACAATGATGCAAGCTTTCAAACTATTGCAGTATATGTTTAACTTCTATTAGCTTTATGACTACGCTGTCCTTTGTGTCAGTGTGTAAATAGTGTGTGTTGGTTCAGTGACTGCTGCTGGCCAACTCACACTATTTGCAGGTTTGGCTTGACTCCACCAACCATGAACTCCAAATGTCCTCAACACTTTTATGTCTTTATTTCACATCTTTCAGTCTCATTAGTTAGTATTTTAGTATCAAATATATATCATCATATAATTTTCTAAGGTGGTATTAAACAACCTACTGATTGGGTTTAATTAGATCTCTAACATGAAAACCTAATAATTTTAGAGGTGTTAAAGCTCCATTGAGTAGTTTTTGATTGGGGATGAAAAAGACTGAAATGAACAGTGACGTATCTTTATGATGTACAAAAGCTAATAAGATTATCAGCTACAAGATTGACGAATTTTATATTGTTATTTGTAATACCAGTAACTGCTGTGAGGCGGTAGGTACGCTGAAGAAAAAACTGTTCTAGAAGCAAAATCTCCCCGGGAGTTGTCAGGTTTACTGTAAAAATCAACAGACAGTGTTTTTTGGCAATTAACTTCTCTTTCAGAAGTTCAAGATAAAACTAGCAGTGATAGAAGGGTTAGTACTTCATCCACAGGGGGCGCCAAAATCAAAACAAACAGAAAGTTCTGTACAGGAGCTTTAAAGGATAAAGTATTGTCAGGTATTCCCCTTTTGCACTTTGCTGTTGTTTATAGTCTGATCACCAACTTGTAGGATAAATTAGATTACAGAGACTACATCCAAGTTCGGATTTATAAGATGTATTTCGTTGAAGACTGTGAATAGAGTTTCAAAATGATTAAATTGGAGTACTGTTAGATTGTAATGGTTGGATACTGGTATTACAGGTGACACGCTCCTCCACAAAGTCTTTTCATGTGTCCAATCAAAACATGTAAGACTGCCGATAGAAACCCAAGAGATAACTTATCAAAAAAATAATAATAAAAACTCTAAGGAAGTTATAAAGTTGGTGACTTGCACTACTTGCCGATGTTGAAAGACACTGGATTAGAGAGGAGCTCTATGTTCCAAAAACTCTGGCAGTTTGGTCCTCCAGCAGGGTGGTCTAAGAGAGCCTGAGCCAGCCTTCACATTTAGTTAAACAGAGAGCTGTAAGCCTGGTGCCTCCTGGACCCTTAAGTAGATGAATCGGTAATCTGTATAGTCAAAGGTCTGGATAACTAAAGCCTATCCTTCATACTTCAAGCAGGCCTGCGCTATTTGTGACCATTGAGAGCTTTGGATTTAAGGAGATGAAGGTTTCTGACGTGAAACAAAAGAACAGCAAATATTAAAAGGGCAAATTAGAAAACTGAACCACAGAGGTCTCTTGTGTCAGGGTAAACAAAGCTGTTTGACTTAAGAAAGATGCCTTGGGAAGAAGTTGCACTACCTGATTTGCATGGTATTCAACAATGCAGGGGAGTGCTATTATTGTTAACTATTTACAGCCAATAATGATATATACACACCCTGCAGCAAGAAGGCGTCACCTTTCCTGTTACTGTCTTTATGTCACATTTCAGACTACTGGCTTTAGCTCTGCATGGGTCATTCCACCACAAGTTCTCATAAGTTGTCAGTGCTTACAGTTTATGTTGTGTTGAGTGATTGCTCTGTCTCTCACACACACATACAAACAAATACACTCAGGTTTTAAAATGAGAGCCACTTCTCGCTCAGGAAATTTGATGTCTGGCTTCAGCTTTGCCTCGATGACCTCGGTGCGTGAATGTGTGTAGGTCTTTCCGAAGCCGAGTCCCAGAAATGCTGAAATTCACCAGATTATACCATGAAATCTGTAGTTTGTGCAATATTGCTTGGACTGCTAATTCCTGTCGTGTTCTTCGTAATCCTGTCTACGTCTGTGTGCTTATTTTTCTCCTTCACCTTTCTTTTGCTTTTGCCTTGACTCACCTGGTTTTTGACAATCTTTCCACCCATTTCATTGGCATGATCCGTATGATCTGAATAATTTCACATCCCAACTGCAGTGCTAAATATGCAAGAATAGTAGAGTGCCTAAAAAAAACTGCAACTTTTCTGAAAACTAAACGATTGTTAAGCTACTTTTTCTTGCTTGTAAATCTTGTTCCAGCTTCTCAAATATTAGTTAGATGCTTTTACTTTTCTTACGTAAACTGAATACCTGTTGGTTTTAGAGAACTTACTGACAAGACAACTGAGAGGCACTTTAGGCAGATCAAAGTTTAAACAGATGTTTTTCTGTACAAATTATTGGAGATACACTTTTGCTCGTTGTTACACTATTAGGTCTGCATGAGCAACACATTTTTAACCTCTTTCAGGCACAGAACTGTGGAAAAATCAATAGATATTGATCATAAGGTGCAGGTAATAATCGATTATTAGTATTGGCTCTGAAGAGTACATATCCTGCATCCCAAATCACTCATGTCTGGTCTTACCTGAAATACACAGGTACACTTTATCTTATTTCAAGGGGTTTTAACAGCATGCCTGCACTGCTTCCCTCTGCATTTGACAAGTTTTCTTGCTAGAAACAAACCCAGTCATCTTTTCAGTCGCAAAATATTAGTACAAAACATCACTTTATATATCTGATGCAAACTCACAGCTTTTGCTTTATTACAATAACAGCATTAACACTGTTATTGCATGATCAGTTTCTCAGCAAGTTTGCATTTATTGTGTGGATATTTTCTATGTCATTAACTGTATTTTGTTATATTTTTGACTGCAGTATGAGTCCACAGATGTTATATTTTATTCATTTTTTCCCATGTTTGTTTTTGATTCTAGACGTCATTGAGAAAAGTCGTGAACTTGTGTTTCCCTTTGCTCTGCTTTTTGAGCCAAAGGAACGAAGAGTAAAAACATGTAATTATGGCTGCCTTTTAACACCCAAACCAAACTATATTGTTATCATACATTCCTGCAGATGAAAAACAAATCTGCGGTAGAAATCTGTGATATTTAAGATGTAACATCTTTCAGTGTCTGAGCTCAAACACTGGGATTATGCCTGTTCTGTGCAGCATATACAGTGCTGGCTTTATAACGTGTCCTCTACTTTGAGGTCACATCTGTGGTTGCCATGGAGATGGATCTCGTAGCTGCCATACCTCAGAATAATTAAGTGATTTCTGAGGGTTGTTACATCCTTCCTGAGCTGTGTACATCATAGTTCAATCAATAGGCTGCTTCTACTCATACATCTGTGTTCGATGTAAACGTGCTGTACTTGCAGCTGAGCTTGTAATGAATGAATGTGTGTGGTTATACATGACATTTATAACTGAGTGCATGCACAGCGAATTGTATGAGAACAGCTAATGCTTTGCATCACTCCATCATGCGTATATAATATCCATTTTTTTGTGTGATGTGTGTCTACAGCCTGACAGACACAGTTAAGGATGGTTGGCTAGGCAGACCGTCAACATGGATGTGTACATATCTTTATGTCCCAGGGGAGCCGCGCAGTTTTGCTGTTCTCACGGGATGGGGTGTGACTGTGCAACTATCCCAGGGGCATCCCCAACACAGCCCAGGCTTAGATAGTCTGACCCCTCTGTCTGACCCCAGCCAGGTCCTCCACTGGGCCCCACGAGCCCTGCCACTGCCGGCGTCTGTCTGTGCAAGCCCCCTCGGCAAGATTCTTTCAGGTCTGGTTTGAAAAGTGGGAGATGCTTCTGTTACCAATACACTAACTTCTGAAGAGCGCAATATCAGACAAACGATTCAGAAAGCCGCCAGGATAGTCCAAACTTAATCAACGTGAGCGAAGTCACAGACATGTTGAACTGGGCTCTGCATGCCAAAACTTGTAAACTCATATTGACTTCAAGTGTGTCCAATCGAGCAATTTCCTCCAACAACAAAAAACAAGTTTTTCCCCAACTGAGGGTCACATCTGAGATTGAAATGAAAGAGCCATAAGATCTTTGGTGCCCCCTTTCATATCCCCCACCATATCAGGTCAACATTATAGCTGTTGGACACCAGAGTTGTGCAAGTCAACACTAAAAGTAAACTTGCTCAATGCTCAGATCACACTTTTTAAAATGAACTAGTTAGTGTATTTTCTAACAGCTATATATTCATTATCCATCAGCAGAGCCTCAGACTTTTAAAGGGATATTCCGGCTTAAAATTCATTTAGGGTCAAACACACCGTAACACCGAGTTATACCCCCCCCCAACTTTAGTAATGACCACACGATAGCAATACACAGCGGTCTAAGAATCCATACACAAACCTCAACCAAAACGCCGGTCTATAGCCACAAATAATGCTCAGAACAGCACCTAACTTCATCAATAGTACATATAGGGTCCCAGCCACAGTACTAGCCACCAAACATCTTTTTAACCTGATTTCTTTAGCAGAGAGACAATTCACCGTCCCTCTTCCAGCAGCCGCTTGTTTGTATCGAGACCTCTGGGCGAGTCCATCAACTGCAGTGGGGTTATGCAGCTCAAGGAAGAACATTTATGATAATTTCTTCATGGAAATGCAATCAGACGGAGACGCTAAGGCAGTAGAACTACCTCGTCTGCAGTGCAAAATGATTAATATGGTGATTATTACTTCAAGAAAATAAAGAAATGATAATAAATGTTCTTCCTTGAGATGCGTCACCCCCCTGCAGTCGATGGACTCACGTGGAGGTCCCCATACAAACAAGCGGCTGCTAAAAGAGAGTAGGTGAGTTGTGTTTAGTCTCTTTGCTAAAGAAATCAGGCAACGCTAAAAAGATGTTTGGTGGCTAGTGCTGTGGCTTGAACACTATATGTGTTAATGAAGATAGGTGCTGTTCTGAGCATTATTTGAGGCTATAGACTGGCGTTTTGGTTGACTGTGTGGCTCTCTGTATTGCTATCTGCGGTTGTTACTAAAGTTGGTAAAACTAGAGAAGCAAGCAGTCAGCAACATTCATCTCTCGGCGGGGTGTCTAACTCGGTGTTACAGTGTGTTTGACCCTAACTTAATTTTACACTGGAATATCCCTTTAAAGCTACACCTTCATATACATCAGCAGAGCCTCAGACTTCTGAGACCTAAATAAAATTCTGGGTATTAGATCTCAGATTCATATTTAGTTTGAAAAAACAACAACAAGAAAATCCTATTTTAGTTTGTCTTACTAATGAAAAATAGGGAAAAATCTGTGGTTTGGAAAACTTAGAATCAACCAACAATTGTTGAAATAAAATTTTACTAAAGGTTTTGAAAGACTTTAACATTGTCAAACTGTCATATTTGGATTTGAGAGGACGGTCTTTAATCCCTCCCAACAAAAACCACAGAGAGAAACCTTAACTTGGCAACGTCACCAAGAAGGCTAAAATCATGTCCTATTGTCCTTAAGTCACAGGTTGTGTTCTTGTTTAACAAAGGAGAGGTTAAATGTAGTATCCTGCAGTATAAAATGATCCAAGGTGATATGTACACCTGCATCAGCTAATGGGTCATCCTGGGACAAGCCAGTGTTTGAAAAGACAAGTTTGCTATGTGAGGCATGTGAAAGAGGAGGATTAAAGGGGTAAGAACATGGGGCAGATGAAGCAGATAATGCAGACGAAGTTTCACAATCAACAGAGAGCATCCAAACTGTTAAGAGCTGAGTGGCATTCTCATGTCAGCCTCTCAGTTCAGCCAGGAGCACATCTGTTGGGTGACAGCGGGGAACTGTGTCAGTGGGAGCAGGAGCAGTTTATCTGACCGACATAGCAGCAACGCGCCTCATCCAATCTACCACTGCAGCCAACGGCCAAAGCCAGCAGGCATTATCGGCTACGCTAAGGGGATTAAGCTGCCGTGTGGGTTCACAGAAAGAGAGAAAGAGAGAGAGGCGGGGGAGAGACAGGAAGTGAAATGTATGGGGGAGGAACAGTGGAGTATCTGGGGATTGGAGCAGCGGAGATTACGGTTTTTTTTTTTTGTATTTCATGTACTCACAGTACTCCATGGTGGTGAAATCCCAGCAAAAACAACCACAATGTGAATCTAGCTTACAGTTAATTACTGGGGAAATGATAGCTGGTGTTTGTGTTACATGTAACATGTTTGTAGGAAGACCTCCAACTGTGTTTTCATTTGGAGTGAAATCCCTCAACAGCACTGACCACTGAAATTAAATAAACTGACTCAGCATCTCGGTACAAATATACAGCCCTCCATCCTTAATATTGAAGGACTTAGATGCTTTTGATTTTATGAGAACAGTATCTGTGGATGAACTGAGGGATTATACCAGAAGAAGCAAGCATGGGAAAATATTTCTATTGTTATTAGAGCAGGAAGAGGAGAATTGTATATAAAACCTGGATAACTCATTTGTGAGTTATGAGGGGGACACGCATGAGTGTCACACCAGTTTTCTTTAGGTTGTCAGAAGAAGTCTGTGTGAACTGTGCTCAGTTGTGTAGATCATCTAGAAATATACCTAACTTTAAAGTAAATCAGAGTTTAAGAAAAGCTCTTGCTTGCCAGGAGTGGAACACAGACAAGAGTCTATCCAGTAAAGTAGTCTGACTGACTGAAGTCTTATACTGTGACAGAATACCTGAACATACCTTACTGCCATGAGAGCATTGATCTGATCTTCTACAAAAGGAAAGTGTCGAAATCTTCACTGATCAAACCAGTTTTATAGATATTTGTGAATATATTTTATGGATTAGAGAAAAATGAAGCCCCCACTGTTGCTGCTTTTGCTGTTACATTGCTCACTGGAGCTGTTTGACTTGAAGGTGTTTATTTTCACTATGCACTGGCACCATTTTAAGGTGTGTTGGTAATTTTCTTTTGTCCAGGCTATGTAAAAAATAACGTCCAAAACACGACAGCAGGCACCGATTATGAGGGGGATATTAAACACACAGCCACACCTTTGTTATTTTGTTGGATTAAAGCTCCTGTGAGGAGTTTTGTGACGTTCATGAACGTTTTGTTCACGTTCACAAAAGCAAACCAGGCCATCAGAAACAACACAAATGAGTTTCATATTGTAGTTTTTAATGCCTAAAACTGGTGCCGTAGGGTAGGTGTCAGCTGAGCAGATGAAGAAACTACATTTTGCACCTAAAATATTCACAGTAATGATAAATCAGATTGTCTGAAGTCCTTTTTGTCAGATGACACAACTTAGGTGTGCATAAGTCCAGAAAAGCGAAGACGTCTTCATCCACAGGGGGCACCAGAATTGCCACACACCAAAAGTTCCTCACAGGAGCTTTAATAATGTACAACTTTGATCAGATTGAGTCTTGTTAGCTGTAATATTTGTAAACTTAGATCTGTTTATTGAGGGGTTCAAAGCCCCCTCAGCCTCTAAATGAAACACCCTCAGTGAACCCCACTATGTTTTGAGAGAAATAAGAATTGTAGTTTTACATCTTAAAGAAAAGATCCTCTAACACAGCCACAGTCAGTAGATTTGACGGATGTGATGTTGTGATTTCAAAACTGAATGCTGAGTCAGTTCCCCTGTGCAGACTTTGGAGTTCTTGGAATTTTGTCCAGTCATTCTCCTACAAATTTGACCCATCACCCTCAGTGGCTTACGTCTTGTACATCATGCAACCCCCACTCAACCCACCCTTTTCAATCTTTTTAGGTCGGTAACGATAAAAGGGAATCAGACAAGTTTTTCTTTACTGCTATTATTCTTATATTGCTTTGTATTTATTATTGACATGAATGTACTCTGGACTTAAAGTTTGTTCGCGCCGTTTCACATGTTTCCCGACTTGAAGAGATTTTATGTTGGCTGGCAGGTACACTCACCTCCCAACCCAAATCCCATTAAATAAGAGAAAAACAGACTGTAAATTCTGAAACTCGTGAAGGAGTCCAAAACAAATCAAAAATAACATGTAAAAAAGTCAAGGGAGCGCATTTATATGGGACACACTGCAAATACATAAGATGCAATGGAATTTTTTCTTGGAGCAGCATGTTTCTCCTCTGGTGTAAATTGTTCCAGCTGTTTTAGCATGAGTGCACCTCAGCCACTGAACCCTTACAGTAAAACAAATCAGAATGGCCTTTTCCATTCTGATTTGCCTCAGCAATGTGAGTACAAACACTGTGTCGCAGTTTGCCGGGTACCTTAAGGTCTTACCTTATGATGTAAAACTGTTTACAGCCTCAGAATATACGGGCGACGAAGGAGAGTAGGATCTACAGGAAAACATGTCTGTGTGTTGCTCAAGCTGTATACACACAAAACACCATTCATGACAAGCCGAAGCGTACACTCAGCAGTCTGCACTGGAAAGAACAGAGAATTATCTGTTGTTTCCACACTTTTTTAGGATGTTTCCTTCCTTTAATGTTTCTGCAACGGTTCAGCAATAAAGGCAACCATTGTTCCCCACAAGCATGACAGAAAATAAATCACAATTTAAAGCATATAACTTTCCTGTGAACAGAAAAGTTGAGAATTTTTCAAAGATGTGTTTTATGAGAGTCTCGACATTTCAGACTTGAAAAAGGCTGCATTAGAAACAGAACAATCACATCTTTTCCTTTACTTCTGTTTGTTCTTGTAGTTTAATCCATATCAGAACAAAGACAAGCACTGAGGGAGCGTGGAGTAGGAGGTAGAAACAAGACCCAGAGAGAGGGTGGGCTGTTAGAAAGACACATTTCTGAGGCCTTTCGTGCCACAAGGATCGTATGACCTCCGAAGCAGCACTGCCTATACAGGAGCCGGGAGAGTGGAGGGAGGGAGACGCTGAGAGAAGGGTGTGTTGATCTCAGCAAATCAGAGGACTCAATCCCTCGCTGGGTCTGGTTTGGACTGCCCGGTCCTAAATGTTCCCTGTAGGTGTCCTGTGGGAAGATTGTGTTCTGCGAGTGTTTTTAGGTCTACATGCTGCTGTCTGACATTACAAGTAAATTCCTGGCTAATGGTTCGAGAGATCATCTGGCATCTAAATAGGTTGTTGCTATGGTAAACTGGCTTACCAAGACAGAAAAAATGACCAATGCAAGACTGATTTATGACTGTAACACACGCCATAACTGGTATATTTAGCTAGAGGCCCTGCCAGCAGTTTAAATAGAAGCTCATGTTAATTTGGGCTGACTGAAAATAGTACTAATTATTCATTGATGTGATCATATTTCTTTAAATTAGTCTACCTCCTGTGATTTTTCCACTGTGCCTCCGTCTTATTGAATATTGAAAACCTTTCAAACGATCATGAGCGAAACTCTTTCTGTCACAAAACCAGAATGTGGCTGACAGGACATGCCACAGTAAATTAAAT